GCGAACCAGAGCAGCACACGGAAATGCCGTTTCCCTTCCCGTCAGAGCGGTACCTATTTATCTACTTGCAATTTGACGTGCTTTTGAACTGCTAGGTTGACAGGAGCAGGGACTGAGCAACGGGAGCTCACCCCGTCGCAGGGATTCAAACTGATCGGCAAGCCCTAGGCTTTGTGGTTTAGACCACAGTGCCACCCGCGTCCCAGGTAGAACAATCCAAAGCCCCTTTGTGCAGGGCTAGGAGGGCCTTACACCAGCTGCCAACTGTGGAATGATGCCAGCATGCAAGACGTCATGCAGGTGAGGAATGGCCGACAGTAGCATTCAGTCTCTGGGGCAGTGTCCCATTTGTGCTAATCAACCAGCCTCAGCTGCTCACCTCTTGAATGGGAATGAAACTACTCCAGCCCTGAAATCACTGTAGTTATTTTCTATCCCATTAGCTCCAACATTTCTTTTTAAAAAGGAACCAGTAAGGAATGAGGGTGCAGGTAAAAGGTTGCCATACAACTTTCTTCCCATCAGGGTTTTTGAAGGACCCATTCCTCTACCAGAGACATAGGTATCCATCACAGACACAGGGGAAAACAGGTATTCAGATACCTTGTACTTCAGAGCACCTGGTATTTATTAGACATAAATTGTCACACAAAAATATGGAAAGATTAGATAGGTAAAGGTTCTTCCCACCCCTTTAGAAACAGACACGCAAACGTATTTGTGACCTCAGTCTCCCATGCATGTGGACAGTCATCCATTTTCTTTCCCGTGCATACATATTATTCCATTTTCATAATTAGGGTCATTTGTATTTTTTTTTTAAGTACAGTTTGGAAAGGAAGAGAGGAAAAGGAATTCAAGCTTGCCAATGAAGTATCAACAAAATAGAATTTAAAAGTTTCTGACCAGCTGTGTGGCTGATTTTATTACCTGTTATGCCTTAGCAGAATACCTATTTATCAATAAATAGTTCTAATAAAATAATTACATCCAAAGAACCCTGCAATTAGATTTTGTTTTACCTACACACAACTGCCCAACCTTTCTCAGCACTTTCTAAACACAGATTTTGTTTAACGTCCCATGTTAAAATAAGCAGATATGTCAAAAAAAGAAAAAAAGAAAAATTATACAGGAAGACAAATAGAATGATCGTTTTTTACAAATTTGGTTTTTCGGTTGTTACTAAATGCACAGAATTATTTTTTTCTCCCACATCAAACTTAGTTTCAGGTATTTTTCTGGGTGGATTCAAAACACTGGATTTCATTAAAATGGTCCTAGGGAGGGCAAACATCACTTTAGAGGGACAACTTTAAGAAAGAAGTTGTAAAAGTCATTAATGGGTTAAAAAATGGACATGTACAGAAGGAAAGAAACCAAACAGCGCACAACTGTGCATTGTGGTTTTCCTCATTGCTGACAAATTCCTCAGTGGCAATGCTTCTTTCTATTGCCCTCACTAGTTTTTACTCTCTGTTTCCCTCAATGACATTCTGAAGTGTTCAGGTCACGTGAATTTACTTATTGGTGCTCCAGAATATAAGATGTGGTATCCAGTATGACTGGATGGGATCAACCTCATTTTTGCCTAATTTAAAAAGGAGGCAAAACCAGGAAGTAGGAGAAATTATGACACTGGACAATTCAGGGGAAGGGGGTACAAGACCAGACATGATCTGGTCCAAGAAGTGTATGTGGCAAGATGCTGAGGGACTGTTGAAAATGTCAGCATTAAGTGAATTCTATGCACAGCAAAGTACCCAAAAAAATAATGGTGTGAAGGGTTTTGATGGCAAAAAAAATCAACCCTTACAAATCTGATATATTCAATGCCCCCCAAATCCAAACTGCCAGATCTTTGACACCATCATTAGTCCAGACTAATTTATATTGTTCCCCTGTAGTAACTGCATCCAAATCAAGCAATATTTAACCTGGATGAACTTGCTTTCTGATAAGGCTCCTGTCATCAAACTGCATGTAATTTTCATTGTATCCAGAGCAAACCCATTGCAGCTAAGGGTCATGACTAACAGGTACATTAATCTCAATGAGTTTTATTTGAATAGAATTTGGTTGGATACAACCCCATTGTTCCACCATAGACTTACATTTCAGCAGAGTTGGTGACCTCACGTGATGTGTCATTCCAGACAGTGCTTTGGGTTCCATAGGAAGCATTTTTAAATGGACCTCTACATAACCACTTGCTCGTGGGCATTAGGGAAATGGATAAGAAACAGGTGTCATATTTGCACAGCAGCCATGAACTTCTTGTACCTCTTCCCAGAATACTTCGGGGATTGTAGCAGAGGACCAGGATGGACAAGAAGTCAAGGACCTGCCAAGTCCCATCATCCCAAGTTGGAGTCCAAGTCCCATCATCGCTGATCACTTATCATCCTAGTTGGGGCTTATGGACTTGGACTCCAACAACATCTGGGGGGATTCCTAACCTGATAGTCATTCGAGAACATGGACCTCAGTTGTGCTAATTCCAAAAATAAAAATAATTTGAGCTTCTTTCATGGTAAGCTGGTGCCCATAATCTAATGGAGGCTAGAGAACCTATCTGTAACTTCATCAAAACACCTAAAAATTCAGTTGATGTGGTGGCCACATTTTTGTTGTTGTCCTGGGGCAAAGAAGTGATGCTGACAAAAGTGCACTTGAGCTGGATTTTCTGCTCCACAGCATCTCAGTCTCAATCTTAATTAAGTGATGGGGAACGTGCGACCCTCTGGATGTTGCTGGACTGCATCTGGCAATGCTGGCTGGGCCTGGCAGGATCTGGAGTCTGACAACATCTGGAGGGCCACAGCTTGACTACTCCTGCCCTAAATAGAAGGACCTCTGTCACCAGGGATGAGCAAGCTCAAAGTGCAAAGGCAATTAGTAAATCTGCTGGGGGAGGTGGAAAATGGAGAGGTCCTTTTTCAGACAAGACATAGATGAGAGGCATGAGAACATCATGATTTGCTGGATGGTGTGCTTGCTATGCAAAAACACAGCACCATCAATCTCTCCCAATAGTGGCAGGGTTGGGGGACTTGTGGTTGGACTCCAACTCCTATCAGCCTCAGCCACCATGATCAATGAACAGAGGTGATAGAAGTTGGAGTCTAGCAACATCTTGAGGGCCACAGGTTCCCCACCTCGTGCTAGAAAATGGTGTGAGTGCTGATCTTCTTTTGAATTCTACCAAAAAGGGCAGCCAATATACTATTCTTCTCCCTCACTGTATTATAAGACCCAGCAGTACTTCCCCATGTCCTGCTTTCATGCTTTCTCACACCTTCTATTCAAGACTGCTAATGGTGTGATGTAGAGAGAACATTATTATGTTGAATCATGGATACGTTTTAGCAGACATTGCAGTAGAGATGGGGAAACCTCAGTTGTTGTTAGACTCCATCACCCCCAGCCATCGTGGCCAATGTTCAGGGATGATGAGAGCTGGTCCAGCAACATCTGGAGGGCAATGGCCCACCATTCCTACTTTAGCAGGAGCAGAGCACCAGATGTGTGGCTGCCATTAGCATAACTTCTAATTTGGCTTGAAGATTCTGATGAAGTAGACTATTTAGTCCAGAGATGGGGAAACGGTGGCCCTCCAGATGTTGTCAGACTGCACCTCCCATCAGCCCCACACAGGATGGCCAATGCTCAGGGATGAGGGAGCTATAGTCCAATGACATCAGGAAGGAAACAGGTTTCCTGTCTGTCTTACTGCACAAAATCTTATGCTGCAACAAACCTGTTTGTGATTTAAAACAGGATATCTGTGCCATACAAAATCAACTCTCTTATAACTAGGGGTGGGTGAACCTGTCAATATTGGTTTCTCTGCATTTCTCAGTTTTCTAACTTTAAGTTCGGTTCTCCACATTTCCAGTTCTGTTTAGTGTGATTTTCTAATATACACATTTTTGCATGTGATTTTGTCTAATATACTCTTCTTCTTCTTCTTTGCAAAACTGTTTTCTGTAATGCCATGCATTGTTGTGCAATGTTTTCCTTAATATGTGCATTTTTATGCACACATTGGCTGGAGAACTGCACTGCAAAATTAGTAAACATGAAGATTTTGAAGGATGAGTGCATTTCACTTCATATGATGTTTTCAAAAGTGTAAATAGAATGGAATTTCTCCCCCATCCCTAGTTATAACAGAGGAAGACAAAGAGAAGGCAAAATGATCAAGTTGAGTGTGGATACTCATTTGCTGTGAACTATCTTGGTTCATTTTTAGACGGCGGCACATTACAAAATGGACCAGGAATAAAAATGGAGCGAAATTAGGCCAGAAACTTTTCAAAGTTGAAGTGCCTGTCAGAGGTAGGTACCAAAGTGTTTTACCTGTGAATTACTTCCACCCCTTTAAAAAGAAACCTTCAACCTCGAATCCCCTCCTCACCCTTTTTAAGTCTCTGTGAAAAGGGACAGGTTCTTTTCGCGAGACTCCAAGGAATATATAGATAGATGTAGATAGATAGATATATATTATCATTTATTATATAACAATGTCAATATCAACACCAAAGAAAAGAAAGAAAAGGAGAGAGAAAGAGAAAGAGAGAGAGAGGAGAAAAGAAAACACGACATATTCTGATCGTCTTGTATGAGCACTCTCCGCGTGTCAAGAAAGGTAGCAAAACTCCCGTGTTTCACCTGAAAACAAAACCAAACTATAATGTTGTGCAAGGGCACAAGTTGGTGTGGAAGCAATGCAAACTCAGTGTGGCTATGTCTGGGCATGGGGGGGGCTGTATGGCGTGGGGCAGGGCGGAACGGCATGGATCAGTTTGTCATTGGTCGCAAGAAAGGAAAGCTAGGAGATACAATACCATGGTCTGCCCAGAGGATAGGACGCTGTCCATCTCTCGAGTGCTTAGATATTAACATTCAGTTAAAACGAGTCTTGCAAACAAACAAACAAACACCACTCTTAGTTTGCAGTGAAATCTCTCCAGCAATCCTCTCCCTTGATTGCCTTGTTAGCTGTTCTCGCTCCATTCTGGCACCATGCCCACCCCATGCACGGAATGGTACTGGTGGGGGGAGAGGGTTCGGGGTACCCCATGAGAATAAAGGAACTCTGCTGGCTGTAGGCTGCTGGGAGGCGACTGTATGCTTGTCTGAGGTCCACATTGCCGGACAATTGGCTGGTGAGGGACGGAGGTCTGGTGCTGGAACATGGCATGCGTCTCCCCGATCTGCGATGAGGTATGGTTGGCGACTGTGGCAAGCCGGGGCATGAGGGGGCCAGAAGTGAAATGGGCAGAGAAGTGCTGGTAAGGCAGCCTGTCCATAGGCTGCATGGCAGTCACTGTGCAGCTGCTGTAGGATGGCACAGCAGACCACGTGTTGCAGCTGATGTCTTCTAGGCTGGGCACCGGTTCCGTAGGGGGTGCAGAGCTGGCGTACATGCAGGCTTGGCGCTGAGCAGACTCAGTCCTGTACGCACTGGTATTGAGTCCCTGCTGCTGGGAGTAGGTGGAGCGATAGAAAGGGTCTTCTTCTGGAGGAGATGTCTCCATGTAGGGCTTTTTGTAAGGATGTTCTGTGGTGGAACATTCTTCATCTGATGAAGAGACAAAAAAAACAAAAACACAATGAATGAGGAACACTGTGAGACATCTATGATGTCCTGCTGGATCAAACCAAAGGCCCATATCAGGAATTGAATCTATGCTGGATCCTTATCTCTCCCCAACCCCGACCAGTGTTCAAAAATAACCAGGCACCAGGAGCATTTTGCATCTGGCTTTTGGCCACTTGCAACCAAGTGAAGATACCTGGGCATCAGGTATCTCAACCATCTGAAGGTGCATGCCTGGGCATCATTGGATCTGGGCTGTTTTCACACACTAATACCCCATCCTGTAGAATTCCATCAGTTCTATTTTTCCTGCACAATTGAAATGAATTTCTGGAAGCAAAACGCTTTTTCTGTGCAGCCTGAGCAGGAGCAGTCACCATTTATAAAAAGAGGTTGGAATAGGCTAATAAGTATGTGGACTATCCCTGGGTCAAGTTACTTTTCTTCTTTAAGTTCTCAAAATTCTTAACTTAGCTCAAGGTTGTAGAGAGCCAGTGAGGTGTAGTGGTTAAGAGCGGTAGTCACGTGATCTGGGGAACTGGGTTCGCGTCTCTGCTCCTCCACATGCAGCTGCTGGGTGACCTTGGGCCAGTCACACTTCTTTGAAGTCTCTCAGCCCCACTCACCTCACAGAGTGTTTGTTGTGGGGGAGGAAGGGAAAGGAGATTGTTAGCCGCTTTGAGACTCCTGAAGGGGAGTGAAAGGCAGGATATCAAATCCAAACTCTTCTTCTTCATCTGAACTAGCCAGATGTTTGAATGAGAATAAATCACAATCAGTCCATCCTTTGAAAAATAAGGCTTCAGAGCTGCTTTGCCCCCAAAATGGCAACTAGACATTCCGTTTGGGCGACTGTAACCTTGGTTTTAGAAGCCATTTGGTGCCTAGCTTATATATCTGAATTTCTAACACTGCCCCTGACATACAAGCAGGCCAAGTTTGGCAGGTGGGTGGAGCCACCCACCTGTCAGTCACCTGATCTCACAATGACAAGTGCAGAAAGCGCTGCTGTTGTACTCAAGTCCTGCTTCTGGGCTTTCCATTTTGGTTTCTGGTTAGGCAATCTGAGAGCGGAATGTTGGGCTTCGTGGTCCTTTTCCCTAATCCAGCAGCCAAGCTCTTCTTACATTCAGTGATGGGGAACTGAGGATGATCAAGGAGTTCTTTCAGTCCCTATTTTGTAGGGACTGAAACCAGAGCTGCACCTTCTGGTGGGGTGGGGGAGATGGCTGCCCACATGGGGGGCACACATGGAAGCTGCTCATGAAGGAGAAACAACCAGCACCACACAGGACTGAAATCCTTCTGCTTACCAGCTGGGAATCACAAATGAGAAGAGCGCTGCTGTTGTGCTCAGAGCTCAGATTATCCTTTCTGCCTTCCTGTTGGGAGGTCTGCTTGGCCACTCTGAGAACAGCATGCTGGGCTCTATGGGACCCCTTTGGCCTGATCCTGCAAAACGCCTCTTAGATGCAGAAGATGTGAGCTGAGCGGAAATCTAAATGCTCCGCAGGAATAGCAACATATTGTCTGACGCATGGTATGTGTGTGAGAGAGTGTACGATCCAGTTTTTGTAATGCCCTCCATTAAATTGCACCCCTGCTGAGACCTCGACGCAAAATAAGTGTCTGACTGCTGGAAGGGGCAGTGGAAACAACAGCAGCAAGATTAGAGAGGGGAGCGTATCTCCTTTCACCCAGCTCTTTGGATGGAAGTCAGGCAGGCTCCCGCATCGGAGACGCCCCAGTCTAGCTTGCGGTCTATAATGGTGATGATAATAGATGCTGTCATAATACACAAATAACAACACAGTATAGGGCAGGCATTGTCTGCAGAGCAAAAGGGAAGCCTGTGAAGGAACTGTGTGCATGTGGGAGGGGATGCACATTGGGAACTGTGCAGAACAGACAAAGGGGAAGAAGGAACTGGTGGAGGAGGATGCTGGCTTTCCCTTTTGTTGGGCAAGAGGATAAAGCTGTAGCTCAGCAGCAGAGAATCTGCTTTGCACGCGGAAGGTCCCCAGCACCTGCAGGTTCAAGCCTGAAGAGATGCTGCCAGTCAGTGCAGATAATACTGAGCTCGATGGACCAAAGGGTTTAACTCAGTATAAGGCAGCATCCCATGTTAACATATAACATAAGAAGAGCCTCTTGGAACAGGCCAATGGCCCATCTATTCCAGCATCCTGTCCTCAACAGTGACCAATCAGACATCTCAATGGGAAGCCCGCAAGCTGGACCTGAGCACAAGAGCCCTCTCCCCTCCTGTTGTTTCCAGCAACTGGTATTCAGAAACATGACTACGTCAGAGAGTGAAGCCAGAGCACAGCTATCATGGCTAGTTGCTATCAAAAGCCATCCACTATGGTGGCTATCACTGCTTCCTTTGGCAGTGAGTTCCCTAGTTTAACTATTCACTGCATGAAAACCATGTTACAGTCACAAGACGGCACTAACTGGATCCATGTTGAATTTGGGCTACCTTGCTGTAGATTTTTTATTCTGGATACAGGCTACAGTGGTACCTCGGGTTACAGACGCTTCAGGTTACAGACTCCACTAACCCAGAAATAGTACCTCGGGTTATGAACTTTGCTTCAGGATGAGAACAGAAATCGTGCGGCGGTGGCGTGGCGGCAGCGGGAGGGCCATTAGCTAAAGTGATACCTCAGGTTAAGAACAGTTTCAGGTTAAGAATGGACCTCCAGAACGAATTAAGTTAACCCGAGGTACCACTGTACATACATCCCTGTGTGAACATATATGATCATAGCTGATCCCTCTCATTACAGTGGTACCTTGGTTTACAGCCATAATCCGCTCCGGTTGTAAACCAAAACAGGTTGTAACCCAAGGCGTTCATTCGCCAATGGGGCCTCCCCCCAAAAAATCCGTTGTAATCCAAAAAAAAAGACACGCACTTTCAGGTTTGACGTGGTTGTAATCTAAAATGGTTGTAATCCAAAGCAGTTGCAAACCAAGGTACCACTGTACTGCTTTTTTTGACTTGTAGCACGCCTTTCCCAATGTGGCTACCTGAGATCCTTTAACTTTAAAAAAAGGAACTGAGCCTCCAGACCTTGCTATGCAAAGGCGCAAGCCCTTTTTACATAGGAATGGTTATGATATGCTGCAGTGTTGTTCAGTGGTTAGAGCAACTGCTCTGTACACATGAGGTCTTCCAGATTCAATCTCCAGGTAGGGATGGGAGAGACCCCCTGCTTAAAATCCTGGAGGGTTGCTGCTAGTCTGTGTAGAACCTCAGTGGAAGAGCAAGCTGATCAGGCACTTGGGGCGGCATGCATGCCCTGCGCACGGGGGCAGGGGTGGGGCCAGCCACCCAAGGGGGCACTGGGGGGCCTCTGAAGAGTCTGCCTGCCTCCTCCCACTCAGCCGCCCTACAGCTGAGGGGGAGGCAACGGGCAGACTGTTTGGGGCAGAGCAGAGCCTGTGGGTGCTCAAGCCTCTGCGTCACTCCCAGAAGAGACACATGGCTTGGGTGTGCTGCAGACCCTGCGGTGAGTGCCGCCCACCATTTTGTCACCCCCCGCAGTGGGGACACCTGGGGCAGGCTGCACCTATTGCAACCCCCTTGCTACGCCCCTGAATGTAGCCCCTGCAGATCTTTGCCTGGCCCTTGGGGGTCTCCACAGGCCACACACCCCTCACCACCTTTCCTTCATACACTCCCTGAGCGCTTTCCTCCTGGCTGGAATACGTCCTTGAACTCTGATCATGCATCTTCCTTCCCTAGATAGGGTGCTTATCTCTGACTGGTGGGTGGATGTAGAAACCTACAGCATAAAGGTAAATTTGGCCTGCATATCTCCACTCACCTTTGCCTCTGGCCCCACCCACCATGCACATGTGGCCCCCAGAAGGTTGCCCAGAAGGGGGTGCAGCCCTTGGGCCAAAAAAGATTCCCTGCCCTTCGTACAGACAATACTGAGCTGCACAGACCCGTGGCCTGATTCAGTAAAATTTCCTTGGTGTGGGTATGAAAGAACATGTTCTATTTCTAGCAATGTATTTTGCACCCTGTATTTAATTTTGTGATTGTAAGTTTAAATTGTTTCCAGCGTTGGGTTTTAAATGTGGCAACTCACCCTGGGGCTTTACAGTGAAGGGCAGGTAGTAAACAACAGCAACAACAACAACATAAGAATAATAAATAAATATAAATATCATCATCAGCTTCCTATGTGCCTATGTACTTTTTGCTAGTTCCATAAATCCTGCCTTTTCCTGCCACCCGCTTGCCAATGTAGTGGATTGCTTTTGATCTAGCAAAGCCGAAAATTTCAGCCAGGAGAAGCCAGCTCACGCCCTGGAGATGCCCCATCCCGATTTACAGACTGTGCTGGAAGGTCTCTTGTCAGCGATCAAAGCATGTGGCAGCTTTGATAAATGAGCCCTCCTCTGCCCATCAAGCTTGAGCTATTGGGGAGATAGGAAGGAGACAAGGCTCTCCCCTGCACGCACACACCCCTCCCTCGGTCATCTCACAGAGCTGGGCATGCTGCAAGAGGCTTTGGGGGGGGCAGGGAGAGAGAACACCATGGGAGAGATAGTCCTCCTGCCTGTGACAATATGAGGAAATTAGATAAAGTGGGAGAGGGGAGAGGAAGGGAGCCACAAAGAGCCACCCACTCAGTGGGAATCCCAACCCTGGAAGGAAAACTCTGTTGATTCTTTATCACGCTGCCATGTTGGGAGACAGATGATGGATTGCCTCCCTGTGACCAGGGCCGTAATCAGAGTTTGGGCCATCCTCTTTGCTGTTACGGCTCGGTTTGGGATGCTTTTTTGGGGAAGGGCAGCAGACAGTGGATAAGGAAGGGTTGCATTGCATATCTATATAGAGGCAGTCAAGTGGGACTGTTTAAGTGGAATAGGTTTGCCACAGCATGATATTCTGTAGATGATGGCTGGGTGGGTGCACACACCACACAGTTAAAGCACATGGCTTCTCCCCAGGAATCCCGGAACTGTAGTTTGTTGAGGGAGCACAATTCAAAGTCCTAAACGGCCTCGGCCCTGTATAGCTGAAGGAGCGTTTCCACCCCATCGTTCAGTCCAGACACCGAGATCCAGCTCCGAGGGCTTTCTGGCATGGGAAGTGAAGTAACAGGGAACCAGGCAGAGGGCCTTCTTGGTAGTGACACCTGCCCTGTGGAACGCCCTCCCATCAGATGTCAAGGAGATGAATAACTCTATAACCTTTAGAAGACATCTGAAGGCAGCCCTGTTTAGGGAAGCTTTTTAATGTGTAATGTTGAATGTTTTTATATATGTTGGAAGCTGCCCAGAGTGGCTGGGGCAACACAGTCACATGGGCAGGGTAATAATAATAATAATAATAATAATAATAATATGTAGTTCAGGAAAGAGCCAGCTACAGTTCTTTGGGAGAAGTCACAACCATTACAGAGATAGCGTGTATGCAGGCCCATGCTTCTTGGGTGTGGAGCACTCAATGAAAGGGCAGGCCTAAACTGCCCCAAACTGTCCTTTGCCAACCTGCCACCCTCCATTTGTTTCTGACTCCAATGTCCATCTGTCCCAGCACCCCATTCATACTCACAAGATTATGAGAAGATCCTGCTGGATCAGCCCAATGGCCCATCTCGCCCAGCATTCAATTCTCACAGTGGCCAACCAGATGTCTGTGGGATGCTTGCAAGCAGAATCTGAATTCACCCCCCTCCCTTCATGGTTTCCAAGCACGAGTACGTTTCTGAGCACAATTCAAAGTGTTGGTGCTGACCTTTAAAGCCCTAAACGGCCTCGGCCCAGTATACCTGAAGGAGCATCTCCACCCCCATCATTCTGCCTGGACGCTGAGGTCCAGCGCCGAGGGCCTTCTGGTGGTTCCCTCACTGCGAGAAGCAAAGCTACAGGGAACCAGGCAGAGGGCCTTCTTGGTAGTGGCACCCGCCCTGTGGAACGCCCTCCCACCAGATGTCAAAGAGAAAAACAACTACCAGACTTTTAGAAGACATCTGAAGGCAGCCCTGTTTAGGGAAGCTTTTAATGTTTAACAGGTTATTGTATTTTAATATTCTGTTGGAAGCCGCCCAGAGTGGCTGGGGAAACCCAGCCAGATGGGCGGGGTATAAATAATAAATTATTATTCTATTATTATTATTCCAGAAACTGGTATTCAGAAGCATCCGTGGTTTTGACTGTGGAAACAGAGCAGAGCCATCATGCCTTGGAGCCATGGATAGCCTTCTCATGGATTTGCCTTCCCCAGGAGGCAGTGATGGCTGCCAACTTGGATGCCTTGAAAAGAGGATTGGACAAATTCATGGAAGATATAAATTGCTGGTTGCCATGATGGCTCTGCTCTGCCTTCACAGCTGGAGGCAGCAATGCTTCTGAATGCCCGTTGCTGGAAACCACAGGGGGTAATGCTCTTGTGCTTGGGTCCTGCTTGTGGGTTTCCCATAGTCATCTGGTTGTCTACAGGAAGCTGGACTGGATGGGCCATTGGCCTTATCCAGCAGGGTCTTCTTCTGTTCTTATGCTGTTGCTGCAAAATTCATGGGTTTTCGAAAACAACAATTGACATTAGGCAGGTGCCCTTACTGTTTTAGATGCCTGCTGAAAAGCATTTTTTATTTCAGCAAGCCTACCCAGACTTGACATCGATATTGTCATTTTAAAAGGTTCACTGATTTAATTCCTGTTTTTTCATGATAATTATTTTATGCCAATTTTCTTTTGAACAGTGATGTGGATTTTAGATGTGTTTAATTACTGTGTACAATGCTTAGAAAGTTATTTGGCCAACTAACGTATAAATCTATTTTAAAATACAAATATATAAAAAGAAACAGTTAAATTGAATATATGCTTATGTTGTAATTGTACCTATATTATCTGCTCAGAAGGAGGTCTAGATCTACTCCTAGCTTATTAAGGGTGTATGGGATTGCTGGAGCTTTGTTTCTTTGAACTGATTGTCTGTAACCCTGGATATTAATGTTATTATTTTAATAATAATAAATCTACTTCATAAAAAAAAATGAATACTGGGAACTTTCAAGTTGTTAAAGAAAATAAATGAATGGCCCAATGTCAAAACATTGCTCTTGAATCCCATGTGAGCTAGTGGTCAAAAGAGCCTGTGTAGTCTCTTGAAATAGCAGTAAATTTCACCCCTCGGAATAACCTTGCATCAGCTATTTAAGCGTTTGTATTAATCCTCAATCCTTTTCAGAGGCCTCCTGGCCTGATAAGCTATCTTTATCCCAGGCACCAGCTATCTCCCTGGATGTGGATTCAGCTTCTATAGAACTATGCGGCCATCTCTCTGGGTTTCATCTATGCTGCTCTTCAATAATGCAGACTGAAATTGCCGGAATAGCGGCCAATGGGAAAAGCAGCCAGAGAAATGGAAAGAGTGGGGGAGAAGGGGAAAGTGGAGGCCAGTAGCTCCACGGTTAAGCATCTGCTTGCAGGCAGAAGGTCCTGGGTCCAGTCTCCGACATCGCCAGATAGGGTGGGGAGAGGCTCCCTTGTCTGAAACTCTGCAGAGCCGCTGCCAGTCAGTGTCAACCATACTGAGCTAGATGGAACAGTGGTCTGACTCAGGCAGCTTTCTATGCTTGCTATCTCTGGTTGGATAAATTACTGGTGTTCTGCATTTCCCCCCACAACTGGGTCATGGCTGTTGCTTCTTGGTAGACAATGCTAGATGGACTCAGTAATAAGGCAGCTTCCTATGGAGATGGACTAAAGTTCAAATTGGAGAAATGAAGCACTGGTTGGTGGGAGGATGAGGGAGTTGGAATGATGTCTTGTTTCTGTTGCAAATACATGTATACTAGTGCATGCTACAGAGGGCAGGGGGTGCGGGAGGCAGTCATCACTGTGAATGTACAAGCCTGTCCACTCTGATTTCTTTCCATTTCTCTTTTTCTCCAGTCTGAAATTATGTTTGCTGCATTTCCGCATCCGTTTTTTTTAAGGTCTCACAATAATCCACCAGCATTTCAGAGTGCATCTCCTAATACACCGTTTTGTACACAATTTGCCTGCCCATCGGAAGGGAAGGCTTTTGTATGCAAAGGAACTTCCCAAGAACTGTCTGCAACTGCGCGGAATTTTAGAATGGCATGCAATGGGAAATTTTGGAATGGGCCGGATATTGTATGGAGTTTGGGAATTGGATGGAATTTTGTATGCAATTATTGTTTTGCTATGCAATCCGCCTGCAATTTTCCCTAACAAAAACATTTTGACAGGCGATATAGCCTCTAACAAAATGCATTTTTGTACATTATCTTCCCTGATACGTGTGCACTTCTACGCACACTTTCCCCAAAAACACACATTTTTTGCACACAATACAGTGGTACCTCGGTTTACGAAATTAATCTGTTCTGGAAGTCCGTTCTTAAACCAAAACTGTTCTTAAACTGAGGTCTGCTTTCCCTAATGAGGCCTCCCGCCGCCAGTGCCCTCCCACCGTTCAGATTCCATTCTTAGACCGAGGTAAAGTTCACAAACTGGTACACTACTTCCGGTTTTGCGGAGTTCGTAAACCGAATTGTTCTTAAACAGGACTGTTCTTAAACCGAGGTACCACTGCTTGGGAAACGGCACTGCAAAATTCAGAGAAGTGTGAATTTTCAGTTTGTATACTGTTCCAAGAAGCACAAATTAGATAGGTTCACTTCAAAGGGCAAACCAAACCAAATTTCTCCTCCTGTTCTTAGCCATCACGAGCCATCCCTATAGTCATTAAACAGGCAGAAGAGATCCGTAATATGGACTCAATAAATAAATAAATGCCAAGGACTCTCTGCCACCCAAAGAAGAGGGATCTGCCCATTTCAGTCTTTATTGGTTTCTCATTTTTTTTCTAATATTGGATTTTCTCTACATTCCTGCATCAATTTGCAACTTGTTTACTATATTTAAGAAATCCTCATGGAAATTCACCGTTTTAGTGAGAAGGTCTCCTAATAAACACATTTCTGTGTTTTTTCTCTGTTTTTCTTTATGCTGGTTTTGACGTCGGTATGTTGTGTATTTCTTGTAAGTCACTTTGAATTACTTTTGTAAAAAAAAAAAAGAGCTACTAATAAGATTAACAAATAATAAAATAATACAGTAGATAATTTAATTTTGGCATGCATCTTTGAGTAAGGTACACATTTTCGCAAGCAGTTTCCCCTAATGTAATGCCTTTTTGTATGTTATTTTCCATAAAATATTCCTTGTTTTAAGTACTTGCCCCTAACCCATGCATCTTTGTAAACACTGTTTGCTTCGGGAATCTGTGTCGCGAAATTTGGCTCTGAAAGGGCAGGTGCGATTTGATTCCTGTATTGTTTGGGGGAGTGCCAATTGGATAGATTTGCCTCTAAAAGGGAAAGCGGACCTAATTTCTCTTCCAGGAAGGTGAGGTTTGCTCAAAGGGCCTGACCTTTTCTCTTGGTGCAGTGGTAAATCTGGCCGTGGTCCTGCGACACGGGGTACGAGTTGGCAGCTGGTAGCAGGTCCTGGGAAGTGCTGGAAACGCCGTTCTCACACTGGAACTGAGACCCGAGGTTGGAAGAGGCAGGCAGCGCCCGGTTCTCACCGCTGAAAGGGCTGTGGTTGGAAGCCACCTTCTGCCGGACAGTGCTTCTGGGAACCACTGGGTACTCCTTGCTGAAAACACAGGCAATGTTTTCATCAGTTACTTATACTCTATCTGCACTCAGTATACCCTGCTACTTCTGGGTTGGCTTACAGTAAGCTTACAGTGCCGGATTTACGTATAAGCTAAACAAGCTATTGCTTGGGGCCCCACTCTCTTGGGGACTCCCAAAAAATTTAAAGGGAAAACAACTGGATGTACATTTCCAAAATAGAAGATAAAAAACAAATGAAATAAAACCTACACACTTCAACAGTGTTTTGTGTTGTGTAGGCTGCTCTGGTTCGCCAGAAGAGGCTTAGTCATGCTGGCCACATGACCCAGAAGCTGTACGCCAGCTCCCTCGGCCAGTAAAGTGAGATGAGCGCCGCAACCCCAGAGTTGGTCACGACTGGACCTAATGGTCAGGGGTCCCTTTACCTTTAGGCTCCTATGATGTAAGTAATGGGCCCCGCCTGCTAGCCTGCTCCCTAAAATATCACTGGTTTGCTCATTTCTATATGCAGTGGTACCTTGGTTCTCAAATGTAATCCATTCCGGAAGTCTGTTCCAAAACCAAAGCCTTCCAAAATCAAGGCACGCTTTCCCATGGAAAGTAATGCAAAATGGATTAATCCATTCCAGACTTTTAAAAACAACCCCTAAAACAGCATTAGGTCCGTAAATTACCATATAGCATATATTCAACACAAAAAACAGCGACAATTTGTTGTTGACAAAGGACAGCTGGACATATAAAGGGCCCCTTTACCTTCAGTAGCTTAGGGCCTCATCAAACCTAAATCTGGCCCTGTCTGCACTATACCTTTAAAGCACTATGATTCCACTTTAAATGGTCATGGCTTCCTTCAAAGGATCCTGGGAACGATATAGCTTGTTAAGGGTGCTAAGAGTTAGCATTTCAATTCATTTATAGATGGCATTTAACTCCAAGTAGATTTGCTAAAATGTATAAGTCCGAATCAGGTAAGTGCTGGAGATGTAATGAGGTTGAGGGTACGTTTTACCATATGTGGTAGACTTGTAAAAGGGTAAAAGAGTATTGGGAAATGATATATAATGAATTGGGGGGGGGATGTTTAAAAGTACCTTTCCAAAAAAAAACCCCCAGAGTCTTTTTTTGTTGGGGATAATTCAGAGCGAAATTCCCAGGTATCAAAAAAGATTATTTATGTATGCTACTACTGCAGCCCGTGTTCTGCTAGCCAAAAAATGGAAAACGAGCGAGGTCCCAATCAAAGAAGAATGGCAACATAAACAGATGGAATACTCACTGCTTGCAGATTTAACATACAGAATAAGAGAACAAGAAGAACATGCGTTTAAAGAAGACTGGAAAATGTTTATTGAATATATGGGTGAAAATTATGTTTATTTAAAAACGCTGGTACCATTAAGATAAACTCAACAGTGTAAATAAATTTTGATGGATGCTGAGAGTTATTTGGGGGACGCCCATTTCCCTCCCAGAGCTATAATTCGCAGAGCTCCCTGGGAAAAGGGATTGAATATTAAACCACTATGAATGTAATTTAGGAAAAGCCAGGGTTGTTTAAAGTGGCTTGATACACATTGGGCAAAAGATTCCTCGTAGTCCCTTCCAACTCAATGTTTCTATGATATAGTAATAATAATAATAATAATAATAGCTACAGCTCAGTGACAGAGCATCTGCTTTGCATGCAGAAGGTTGAAGCTTCAATCTCCATCAGCTGAAGGCAGGGCTGGGAATGAAACTCTTCCTGAAATCCCAGATAGTTGCTGCCAGTCAGTGTCAAGAATACTGAGCTAAAGGTACTAATGGGACTGAGTCAGTAATATGCAAGGGCACCATCTAGGGTGGGACCAAGGACCCCCAATTTTTTCCCAGGAGGGGGCCAGGGCCCTCAATAATCTGCAGTGATATGTACGCATGTCACTTGCGCAAGCAGCACGGCATGTGTGTGACTCGTCGCACGTCGTGTGGTGCCAGCCCCTCAACTGCTGGGGCAAGAGGGCATGCCTGGTAATATGGCAGCTTTCTAGAAGCAAAGCCCATGCCCTAGTTGTGGGAGAAGCTGCCAGAGTCAGGCCTTCTAGCTCAGGATTGTCGACACTGAATGGCAGCAGCTCTCCAGAGAATGCACATGGTCGTGCCTGGAGATTCTGTGGCTTGAACCGGGGACCTGCTGAATGCAAAGCAGGTGTTCTACTCATTACAGTGGTACCTGTTACAGGCGCTTCAGGTTACAGACGCTTCAGGTTACAGACTCTGCTAACCCAGAAATAGTACCTTGGGTTAAGAACTTTGCTTCAGGATGAGAACAGAAATCGTGTGGCAGCGGCGCAGTGGCAGCGGGAGGCCCCCATTAGCTAACTGGTACCTCAGGTTAAGAACAGTTTCAGGTAAAGAATGGACCTCCGGAACGAATTAAGTTCTTAACCCAAGGTACCACTGTACACTATCGCCTCCTTCCCCAAAAATGAATGTCAGATTCTAGTACACATTGTTTTGAGTAAAGGACTGAAATAAATAGGCAGCTGCCCTGTGCTGAGTCAGACTATTGGCCTATCTAGCTGCGTACTGTCCACACCAGGGTTTCCCAAACTTGGGTCTCCAGCTGTTTTTGGACTGCTGCCCCCATCATCCCTGACCACTGGTCCTGCTAGCTAGTGATGCTGAGAGTTGTAGGAAACCCTGGTCTACAATGACAGGCCGAGGCTTCCCAGAATTTCAGACAGGAAGACTTTTCAAGCCCTACCCGGAAATGCCAAGGATTGAACCTGCAACCTTCCGCATGCAAGGCAGATTCTCTACTGCTGAGCTATGGCCCTTCCCCATTACTGCGCTCATGGCATATATAGCAGAATTAGTCGGTGAGGGGAAAGGAGGTTCTTCTCATACGTTTCCCAGCTGTGCTGACAAAGTCCTGAGCATGGCTATCATCTCACAAAAACATCCCTCTCAGAAAAGGGAAATGATCGGGACCTATAAATATATATACAAGGGAAGACAGAGCATTTACGCCGATTAGAAACATGTGCTCTTCTCTGTCTGAGAAAAAGAGGCACAGTCTGAGAGCCAAGACTCCTGGCTGCCTTTGCATGTCGCATCCAGAATCTCATTGTTACATTTATGTCGGGAGCAAGTTGAAGTTGGAGATGACCACCTGTTCATAATTTTTTTAAAAAACTGTTCATATTTTAGGAGCCTTATCCATTACATAAATACACAGAGAGAGAAAGAGAGAGAGAGATTTGTAAAGGCAGAATTGTGTGTCCAATTAAGTCACAATGAATTCTGTCTCCAATTTATGAAGAAAATGAAACTTAGTTGACTATCGAAGGGATATTCTTCCAAATGATCAAGGGGATCTAGTGGCACCCTTTGAAGAAAGGCTACAGCGCTGGGGAGTTTTCCATTTAGAGAGAAGGCAAGAAAGAGGTGACATGATAGAATTGTGCATGGCATGGAGAAAGCAGATAGAGAAAAGTTTTTTCTCCCTCTCTCATACCATGAGAACACAGACATTCATGTTGAAAGATTCGGGACAGATACAGTGGTACCTTGGCTTACAGACACTTCAGGTTACAGATGCTTCAGGTTACAGACTCCGCTAACCCAGAAATTGTACCTCGGGTTAAGAACTTTACTTCAGGATGAGAACAGAAATCGTGCTCCGGCGGCGCGGCGGCAACAGGAGGCCCCATTAGCTAAAATGGTCTTCTAGTTAAGAACAGTTTCAGGTTAAGAATGGACCTCTGGAATGAATTAAGTTCTTATAGTTCTATAGTGGTCCGAGGTACCACTATATATATATTGAGGCATAAGAACACTGAGGCATAAGAACATTAGAAGGCATACTGAGGCATAAGAGGCATTGAGGCATAAGAACATTAGAAGAGCTTAGAACGAATTAAGTTCTTAACCCGAGGTACCACTGTACAACAGAGGACTTCTCCATTGCAGTGCATAGTAGAACTATGGAACTCACTTCCTCAAGAGGTAGCAATGATGACTGCCACCTTGGATGTCTTTGAAAGAGAAAGAAACAACCTCATGGAAGATTAGACTGTCAATGGCTACTGTCTGTGAGAACAGGATGCTGTATCAGGTGGGCACTGACCTGATCCAGCAGGCTCTTTTCAGCAAATGTGTTTGTCTGGATGGGATGCATCCTTCCACTCCAACAATGCCTCTTGCTTGCCTAGATGCAGGATATAGCATCTGTAGAAGGTAAGGGCTTTCCCAGACTTCCTCTTGTCCTTCTGCTTTCACCCAGTGGAAACGGCTGTATAGCGGTCAATCAGAGCAAAGGGCAACTTGGGTTCGCACCAATTTATCACTAGGGAGGAGTTTTCCAGACCAGACAAGCGGAAGTGTGGATGGACCCTAACCCAGCGCTTTTTTTCTGGGGGGACACAGCGGTACGCATACCCCTAAACATTTTGTGAATCTAAGTTTGGCCTCATTGGGGGGCAGCATTTCAATATGAGTAGGAAAATGAGAGTACCCCTAAACATTTGTTTTTTTAGAAAAGAAGCACTGCCCTAACCTATTGGCTCCACCCTCTTTTCCCTCTGGCCCCACCCACCACAGACATGTGACCCTCAGAAGCTGGCTCAGGGTGCAATGTGACCCTCAGGCTGAAGAAGGTTCCCAGTTCATTATACACTGTGAAAATGTTTACCTTTGCATCCTCGACATTCTATGAAGCTCCATATCGTCGCTGCCTCGAAATCCTTTCGCAAAGGGGTTGTTTTCAATCTTGAGCTGAGTGATCTGAAAAGAGAAAGCAGAAGGAAGATAGTCGGGGGGGGGGTTGTTCATTCTTGGACTACTGCAATGCGCTCTACGTGGGGCTATCTTTGAAGGTGACCCAGAAACCATAACTAATCCAGAATGCAGCAGCTAGACTGGTGACTGGGAACGGCCGCCAAGACCACATAACACTGGTCCTGAAAGACCTACCTTGGCTCCCAGTACGTTTCCGAGCACAATTCAAAGTGTTGGTGCTGACCATTAAAGCCCTAAACGGCCTTGGCCCAGTCTACCTGAAGGAGCGTCTCCACCCCCATCGTTCTGCCCAGACACTGAGATCCAGTGCCTTCTGGCAGTTCCCTCACTGAGAGAAGCAAAGCTACAGGGAACCAAGCAGAGGGCCTTCTCGGCAGTTGTGCCCACCCTGTGGAACGCCCTCCCATCAGATGTCAAAGAGATAAACAATTACCTGACATTTAGAAGACATCTGAAGGCAGCCCTGTTTAGGGAAGTTTTTAATGTGTGACATTTTAGTGTATTTTTAATATTTGTTGGAAGCCACCCAGAGTGGCTGGGGAGGCCCGGCCAGATGGGTGGGGTACAAATAATTTATTATTATTATTATTATTATTATTATTATTATTATTCTGACAACGGTCCGTCATCTGGGCCAAAGAGATTGGCCTAAAAACAAAAAGGAAGCCTTCTTAAAACAAAAACAATCATGCACTGCAACATCACGTATCGCCCAAATGCTAGCAATCACGGGCATTCGCTGAAGCTGAATGCTGGAACATTCAAGGCAGAAAAAATTACCGTATGAAGGGCAAGGATACTGATGGCCATGATGGTTATGCTCTGCTCCACAGATGGAGGGAGTAATGCTTCTGAGTAGCAGTTGCTGGAAACCACAGCAAGGGAGCATGCTCTTGGGCTTGGGTCCTGCTTGGGCTTCCCATTGGGGCATCTGGTTGGCCACCATGAGAGGAGGATGCTGGACTCTGCCTCAGCCATGTTCCAATTTCCAAGAAGATATTTCCAAAGGCACCATCATTTACCTTGTGATTCTGGTAGGACGTCACAGCGATAAAGGCCGTCTCTGGAAAGACGTGGGTGCAGAAGGCTGTGTTTTTTGAGCCAAACCCATTGTTCTCATCTGCCTTGACGATATGGAGTCTGGGCTGGTATTTGTGCATGGAGTTGAGGATGATCTAGAAGGGAAGAAGGAGGAGACATTGTAAGAACATAAGAAGAACCTGCTGGGTGAGGCCAATGGCCCATATAGCCCAGCATCCTGTTGTCATAGAGGCCAACCACATGCCTGTGGGAAACTAGTAAGGAGGATAGCTCAGTTGGTTAGAGAATGGTGCTGATAACTCAAGGGTTGGAGGTTCGATCCCCATACAGGACAGCTGCATATCCCTGCATTGCAGGGGGTTGGACTAGATGATCCTCAGGGTCCCTTCCAACTCTACAATTCTATTATTTCCCCCCTTCCGCAGTTTCCAGCAACTGGTATTGTGGAGGCAGAGCATAGCCATGCCTAATAATAATAATAATTTACTTATACCACACCCTTCCCGGTTCAAAAACCGGGCTCAGGGCAGCTAACAACAAATTTAAAACACTTAATTGTAAAAGCAGCATAAAATACAGTATAAAAACATGAATAACAATAAAATTCAAAGTTCAGAAATCAATTTAGGGGAAATCCATCTAATAAGCATTAGATAATCACCAGGGCTACCTGGCTGAATTAGTAGCCATCAATAGTCTTCTCTTCTGGCATCAGACAGAGCACAACAAGTACCCTAATCAGGATACATTGGGAAATTGGAAATGCAGCAAATTCTGGGGTGGGGGGGGGCTGCAAAACAAGTTACCCTGTGATGAAACTCCATGCAGAAAGCCACCATTAATGGCATTATTTGATAAACCAGGGTTTTCCAAACTGTGGTCCGCAGACCACCAGCTATCATTCAGAGGGTCTGCCTGGATTCATAGCAGAAAATGGGAGACAGCATGTCTTCCCAGTTAAAAAAAAAATCACAGTGGTTTTTAATTGCATTTTGATCGGCTCTTTTCTTTCCTGTATTGTGTTACAGTTGCAGTTCTGTGGGATTCCAAGTGTAGTAAAATCAAAATATAATTTATAAGAAACAATTAAGATGAAATTAAAAGCCATACAGCCTCTAGCACAATTGCTAAAACAGGGAGAAAAATCATCAAGCAGTCTGCTAAGACCCTTGGAAATCTTCAAGTGGTTTGTGGGAAGGGGGGCTGAGATTTGGGAACAACTGTTTTGGTGTTTGTGACTTGCTCTGGGCCATTTGTATGAGTAAAGAAACAAATAAATAATAGTAAATACTTGCCTAAGTAGTAACTAGTTAGCAACTCCCATTGACACCATCAGGTAAGGGAGTCTGAAATCACTCCTGTTTACCCAGGATTGTATTCAACTAAGTCCTATTCAGAGTACATCCATCGAAATTAATGAGCCTAAACCAGTCATGTCCACTAACCTGAATGAGTCTACTCTGAGTAAGATTGGCACTGAATACCACCTACAGGCATTTCGTTTAAGGGGATTCCTAAAGCCTTGATTTCATTTCTATCTTGGTACATTGTTGCATCAGAGTGTTTGCTTGTGAATATGTCTGAGTAATACATAAATATATGTCCTAAAGGCTTCTGTTTCCCTTTGTCTCCTGGTATGTAACTGCATCAGAATATATGCTTGTGGTTGCTTGTATTATTCTTCTACACTGTGTTGTATTCAATTTAAGCTCTACTCAGCTGGAGCCACTGGAATTAATAAACCTAAGTTAGTCATTCATTCTGTTAATTTCAGAGCAGGACTAACATTAGATACAACCTATTATTATTATTATTATTATTATTATTAAAATTTGTATACCGCCCTTCATCCTCAGATCTCAAGGTGGTTCACAGCATAAAAATACAAGATAAAAACACAAAACATATAATAAAAACCAGAACAAAAGTATTATTATTATTATTATCATCATCATCATCAGTATTACAATTTATTGCCTTCCTTCACTCTAAGGTCCCAGGGTGGGTTGCAACAATTAAAATGCAGTATTAATATTGAAACACAATATTTAAAAAATCGAAAACAACAACAATTTGCTAAAGGCTTCTGTTTTCGTTTCTTTCGTCATAGGCAGTTGCTTTAGAATTTTTTGCTTCCGTGTTAAAATAATAGTAATTGCAATAACTGTCTCTCACACACATACAAAACAGAACAGGGGGAAATTGACCAAAGGCGAGCGAAGGCCAGAACGCAGGATGGGCATTTGGCATGGGGTTAACGAATGCGCCAGGGCGCCTGACCCCATCTCTTCCTCCCATCCTTCCCCTCCATCTCCCCATTGTCCTTTGAAAGGAATGCCGAAGGAGGGGGGGTGCCCGTCGGAAGGACCTCCCGAGCGCCTCTCCCCACCCGGCCCCAGCCTTCCAAGCCGACCCAAGTCCCGCAGATCTCCGGCGCTCCCCAAAGCCTAATCTCCAGGGGCGAGGAGGAGGAGACCGGGAGCGTATCGGTCCCGCCCGCCCGTCCCTTCTCCTCCTCCCTCCTGACAATGATTGCCGTCGATTCTGGCGACAGGGAGACGCAGGCTGCCCCGCGGGGCCTGCGCCAGCCAGGGGCCTCGGGACGTCAGGGCTGCTCGCAAAGCCCCTCTCATCCGGGGGGTTTAGCCAAATCGGCTCTGACATCCCGGAGAGCCGCAGACATCAACGGTGAACGATCTAATGGTTTTTAATTTCATTACGGCTCTCCTAATTGAGGGGGCCGCCCGCGCGCCTCCCCGCTTCCCATTGTTGTGGAGCGCGGGCTCCGCTTGGCAGGGAGGGAGACGGTTGGGCCCAGTGGGAAGGGGCGTCCCAGTCGGAGCGCCCATTGCCCTTTGCGCGTCCCCCACCCCAAGCCAAGAGTCTCTCTCTCTCTCTCTCTCTCTCTCTCTCTCTCTCTCTCTCGTGTGTGTGTGTGTGTGAGAGAGAGAGAGAGCAGAGTTGGGGAGAGGAAGAAAGAAAGAATAATAGATTCGTAGAGTTGGAAGGGACCCTGAGGATCATCTAGTCCAACCCCCTGCCATGCAGGAATATGCTGCTGTTCCGTATGGGGATCGAACCTGCAACCTTGGTGTTATCAACACCATGCTTTAACAAGCTGAGCTATCCATGCCCATAATAATAATAATAAATTTTATTTATACCCCGCCCTCCCCAGCCAAGACCGGGCTCAGGGCAGCTAACAACCAATAAAAAACAAGTTGATTGAAATGCAACTTAAAAAACAAGATTAAAATACAGTAGTACCTCAGGTTAAGTACTTAATTCATTCCGGAGGTCCGTTCTTAACCTGAAACTGTTCTTAACCTGAAGCACCACTTTAGCTAATGGGGCCTCCCGCTGCCGCCGGAGCACGATTTCTGTTCTCATCCTGAAGCAAAGTTCTTAACCCGAGGTACTATTTCTGGGTTAGTGGAGTCTGTAACCTGAAGCGTATGTAACCTGAAGCGTATGTAACCCAAGTTACCACTGTACAACATTAAAACATTAAAATGCAGCCTCATCACAGAAGGAAAAAGGAAAAACAAAGAGGGGGAGGGAATCAAATTGACTCCAAGCCAAAGGCCAAGTGGGACAACTCTGTCTTACAGGCCCTGTGGAAAGAAATCAGATCCTGCAGGGCCCTCGTCTCATGAGACAGAGCGTTCCACCAGGCCGGAGCCAGAGCTGAAAAGGCCCTGGCTCTGGTTGAGGCTAATCTAACTTCCTTAGGGCCCAGGACCTCTAGGGTGTAGCTATTTATGGACCTTAAGGTCCTCCATGGGACATACCGGGAGAGGCGGTCCCGTAGGTACGAGGGTCCTAGGCTGTGAAGTGCCTAGATGAAAGCCCATATAAAATTCTTCAAGAAACAGCCTTTTGCACATCCCCCACCTCAGCCTAAGCTAGGAGTTGGGGGGAGAGAGAGAGAGAGAGAGACACAGAGGAGAGGGGGAGAGAGAGAAAAATGATCACAGAGTTGGAAGGGACCCCAAGGGGTCATCTAGTTCAACCCCCTGCAATGCAGGAATCAAGGCTAATGTGATTCCAGAAAGGGCAACCAAAGATTATCAAAGTCTTCAAACCCAGGATCTACTTTTAACCCGAATGGGGTACCAACAGTGGCAGAGCTGCATGCTCTGGCACCAGGGGGGCAGAGAGCAGGTGGGAGCAGGGCTGGTGCGCGTCCTGGGGGCATGGTGTAGGGGTGTGGCACTCACTACAGGCAGGGGGGCAGCTGCTCACCCCACACACCTCTTCCTCCGCCAGTGGGTACCAATTTCTTAATCTTTCACCATACATTTGCAGGGTGCTAGCACTCCTGCTGTGACCCACCTTGAATCAGGCCACAACCCACCAGCTGACGAGAGTGCATGCCAAGGAATTGCTAGACATGTGAGCTATGGCCCTTCTTCAAATATGCTTCACATCCTAGTGAAGAACATATGAAGTTGCCTTATACTGAGTCAGACGATTGGTCCATCTAGCTTAGTATTAACTACATCAGTGATCTTCAGCTGATGGACTCCCAGCATCCCTTAGCCAACTTAGCCAACCATCAGTCTCATTGCACAAAGAAAACTGTCCCATCAGGGAAGAATGTCCCTCACCAGGACATGCTAGCTTTCTATGTGCAGGGAAGGTTGTTTTGTTCTTGTCTCCAGGAGATGAAAGCACTGAAACATGTCAAACCTCTCTCCTACAACATGAAGTGGTGTCTTCTGGAAGAGTTGGAGGATATAGGTATTGTCGGGCTACAACTCTATGCTACCTGGGGCAGGTGGGATTTGTTCTCCAACGGTATCCAGAGGCGGTGATGGCTGGTGCTCATTGGGACTGGTAGGGCAGAAGACAAGGAGTCCACCTGAAGGTGGCGCCACAGCCAGTAACAGGCAGAGCCAACTAAGTCCATTTTTGACCCCGTCCTCTTCCCTGCTCAGTTCTGCAAAGGCAACACTGAGACTTAAGGTGGAGGAGGAAGTTGGAGGCATGCCCTGGGTCTGATCTGGTTATAACCAGCAAGGAAAGCAGGTGGAGACTGGCTGAGGGCAGAATGGGGCTGGGGGGAGCAGCTCTTCATGTGTCCTAATGGACTGGCTTCCACTGGTCACAGGTTCCCCACACCTAGTATAGAGAGATATATTTGCAGGGCTACCAAGTCATACCTCAAGCAATTTAAGTATTTCTGTTCTTTCTATCATGAATCTACAGCTTGTTTCTAATTTGTGTTTTTGTCTGGTTGATATAGTTGTAAAGGTTTGCAGTCTGCCCTGGAATCTATTCTGACTGACAGCGATATCTAAATATTTTAAAAGAAGGATCACGCTTCCTTAACTGTAGTCTTTCACACACAAACATGCCATTTAGCTATTAAATGTTTGAGGCTAAGGTTGTAACTGTTTCCAGAGGGCTAGCTGCCTTAGGACTCAGCTATACAGCTGCAAATAAGACGTTTTAAGTGTGTTGTAAAGTGCAATATGCAAATGTGACACTAGATGGCAACAGTGAGCTATGGGAAATTCAATATATTTTTCAAAAAAAAATTTTTTTTTTTAAAAAAAGGCATTTTCACAACGTTTTTTATATGTGTGTAGATTTCACCCTCGTCTATTGCAGCAAAGCCAATGAAAGGTTTTGTCGCGTGTTTACGGCTTACAATTATTATTATTATTATTATTATTATACTATAATACATTTGTCTTAAAGGTGCCACAAGATTCTTTGATGTTTCGGGGTTGTTTCTTTATTTCATAAGATTTATGCACTGCTTAATGGTAAGGGGGAAACTTCAAAAACCTCAAAGCGTTTTACAAAAAGGTTGCAATCCTATACGCTTTTGCTTGCTTGCCCGTAAGTCCCTGGGTCAGGCAGTAGGTCAGACTTCTGAAAGGACATTATAGGATTGCACTGTTCAAGGTTATAACAAGAGAAGGCACGGCATGTGACTAACTAGAAATTGTTGCCCTTAGTCGAAGATAATTTAGAAGCAATTTATAATTAATCACAACACATTCTCATGCCTGTTTGCTCAGAAACAAGTCCCATTGTGTACAATAGACCTGAATCCCTTAATAAATAAGTTTAGGATTGCAATCCTTAAAAAAGAAAAGGAGGAGGAGAGGAGGCGGCTTTCTGTACATGCTCTGATTCCTCCTTAAAGTCTAACACCAAAAATAGGTTCTGAAGCTAAGTCCAAGACATGCACAGCTAAAATTAATCTCAGACTAGAATACTCTGTGTGTGTGTGTATTTGTGTGTGTGATGTCAGTCCAGCGAGGCATGAGGATTAATTCAAACTGTAACCTGGGCTGGGCGGCTGCACTTCAATCTGGGTTACTAGATCAGTTAGCACATTGTACAGATCCTTGTTTACAAGGCGCTGCTGTCTCCCATTTCATCTCACATCTCCCCTCCACGTGTCTGCAGGCACCACTTGTGCAGCCGGAGCTCAATTAGAGCCAACTGTTGACAGGGCGCGGCTGCCACCAAGATGCATCAAGCACACTTCCATCAAATTAAGACCAACTTTATTCACTGTTAAACACCTTCCTGGCTCAGGCTTCCCAGCCGCCCATCCCTCGGCATTTCAGCTGTCAGCCTCAGCTTAGTGGAAAGAATTTGAGCATTAATGCACTCTCTCTGCTGCTGCTGCTGCTGCTGCTGCTGCTCTGGCAGTCAGTCTACAGTAGGCAGCAAAAGCATGCGGACCTCAATTGAAAAATGTCCTCCATTACCCTAGCGCAGGCTTCCTCAACCTCGGCCCTCCAGATGTTTTTGGCCTACAACTCCCATGATCCCTAGCTAGCAGGACCAGTGGTCAGGGATGATGGGAATTGTAGTCTCAAAACATCTGGAGGGCCGAGGTTGAGGAAGCCTGCTCTGGAGGGAGAGGCTAGAACTGCAGGGGATTTTAGCTAAGCATCAACAGAAGCCTCCTAGAAGGAAGAGTGGTTCCACAGCAGAACAGACCTCCACAGGAGACAGTGGGCTCTCCTTTGCTGGGGATATTTCAGAAGGTGCTGGACCACCAGCTGTCAGAGCTGCTGCAGCTGTATCTTGAATAGCAGGTCCTGTACTTAAGCAGGGCACCAGACTGGAGTACAGTGGTACTTCGAGTTAAGAACTTAATTCGTTCTGGAGGTCCGTTCTTAACCTGAAACTGTTCTTAACCTGAGGTACCACTTTAGCTAATGGGGCCTCCCACTGCTGCCACACGATTTCTGTTCTCATCCTGAAGCAAAGTTCTTAACCCGAAGTACTATTTCTGGGTTAGCGGAGTCTGTAACCTGAAGCGTCTGTAACCTGAAGTGTCTTTAACCTGAGGTACCACTGTACTAGTTCAGAGGCCCTCTTCCAATTCTGTTCTTTTGTGATTCCACAGGCCAGGGGCATTGCAAGGGGGGTGCAGGGGTGCAGTCTGACCGGGTGTCATGCCTGGGGGGGTGACAAAATCCCCATTCCCAGCAGGCTGATTTTCACGATTGACGCGACCGTCGTGAAATTACAGCAGCTGATCACGCAAATATGGCCAGCGATCAGCCTCCCCCTCCTCCAGCGGGTGGCGTTCACACACCCCCAGCGGTCAGCGCTCGCATCCCCGGCGGGCAGTTTTATGCGATAGGTGGTTGGATTTTCACAATTGGTGGGCAGCACTGGCACCCCTGTATCTGTTTTGCGGCCAGCCCTCCCTAAAAAGTTGTCAGCAACTCTGGGCAATGTTCCCAAAAATTGTAATGGGGGGGGAGGGGTTGACAAAAAAATTGCACTGGGTACCACCTGCCCTTGCTACACCTCTGTCCACAGCAACCTGTTTTTAGTGCTGGGAAAGGACAGTAAACAATATATGGTTGAATGATAAGAATGCAGTGCAGGCTGTCTCTGATCATACACAGAGGAGCTTTCTCATTGTTGAAAAATATCACAGTCTCCCTCTGCCTCCACCCATCTGAGATTAGAAGATACCTATGTTTTAGGTAGGGAGTGGGTGAATCTGTCAATTTCAGTTTCTCTCTGTTTGTCTCTCTCCTTTTTTAATTTAAATTCAGTTCTCCACAACACTTTGAGATTTTTTTTTAATGTCAGAAAATGTATCAGCATTTTTGTGTGAATTTATCCTAATGTACACATGTTTGTATGCAATTTTGGTTAAAAGACACACTTTTGCAAAGCAGCATTCCCAAATATAATGCATTGCTGCATGTTATTTTTCACTAACATAATGCATTCTTCCATACACCTTACCTAAATATATGCATTTTTGTACTTGGTTAGAACATCTCAACGTTCAGGAAAGTGCAAATTTTGGAGGATGGCTGTGTCTCATGTCAGAAAGGGTGAATTAAGTCAGTTCCCCTTTAAATGAGACCACAGTTCAATTTCTCTCTCGTCCCCCCTCCCCACCCCCATCCCAAGGTTGAGGCTTGAGCGTAAGAATAATTCCCAGGGCATTTGGAGGCTTAGAACATGCTACTGGGATAGCTCAGTTGGTAAAGCATGAGACTCTTAATCTCAGGGTTGTGGGTTTGAACCCCACATTGGGCAAAAGATTCAGGCATTGCAGGGGGTTGGACTAGATAACCCTCCCTTCCAACTCTACAATTCTATTATTCCCCTTTGAGAAATCAGCCTTCAAGCAATATGTGTAGAGGTGTACATGAAAGAAAATAACAGAGCAGTGGAAGCACAGATAAATCAAGAGACTTTCTTACCAAGTGAACATATAAAACAATAATTTTCTACATTGTTTCTACTTCATTATTTTATAAACTCCAAATCCCATAAATAATACAATATGCATAATGTCAGCTTTATTAGATACAACATCTTGTTAGCATATGTTGTCTTAGGCTTCCCTTTTTTGCAGTCAGAGAACTCCTTGACCCATATCCCCCTCACCAGCAGAAATATTAGTTGCAATTCTGAAATAAAGGTAGTTTTTAAAATAAACTCATTTTCCTTCACAAGCGCTGCATATACACTCTAGCTTCAAAGTATGTTTTACTCCTCAAAGAATTCTGGGCACCATAGTTTATGAAGGGTTGCTAGGAATTGTAAATCTGCGAGGGGTAAACTATAGATCCCAGAATTGTTTAAGGATGAGACTGTGCTTCAAATGTGCTTTAAAGATACAGGATGTACACAGTCTAAGCCACAACAGGCACATGGCCTTACACAGCACCCAAGCTACTCAACTGAGAATTCATTGGGGTTTACTCGCCATCGATTTATCTATCTTGGCAAGGAGTGGCGAGCCTGTGGACCTCCAGATGTTGTCAGACTTTAAATCCCATCAGTCCCTGCCAGGATGGCGAGAGTTTTAGACCATCAGCATCTGGAAGGTCACAGGTTATCCACCTGTAATCTAGGTTGCAATCTGGCACAAAGTGAAATCAAGTGAAAGTTTATATCCACCTTCTCTGTTGTTGCCATTGGATCATGGCCCAAAATGTCTACTTTCTAAAATGAGAAGAAGGTATGCAAGGCTGCCTAGAAGTTTTTACCCCTAAACCAGGGATGGGGAAAACCTGTGACCCTCTGGGTGTCATTGGACTACAACTCCCATGGTCCCTGACCTTTCATCTCACTGCCTTGGCCTGATGGGAGTTGTAGTCTTAACAACAGCTAGGTCACAGCTTCTCAATCTCTTCCCTGTTACTGGGAGTGGCTGCGATTCCTCAGTGACAAACGAAAGGCACTCTGCAGGTGCTTAGAGTCACCATCCGTGATATCGTATAACAGGAGCTTAAGATTGCTAAATCCTATTGTGGTGTATATGTATGGATCCAACTAAGCTCTGATTGAAAAGCTGGAGTTTGTTTAGTTTTGACGAGAGCTCCAATGTCAGTCTGTATCAGCCAATATGAAATTAAATCTGCCAGGTACTTACATGGCCAAATGGGTCAAGATGGTTGTTGGTCAGCTTGAGCTTTTGGAAGGAGACCAGCTGCCTCATCCAATGGGCCCCAGTGGCTGGCGAGTCCGGGTGCACATATAATCTTCCCGGCATGGCAGGCTCAGCTTTCCCAGTCACTGACCTAACCAAAATCAACACAGTGGGTTTGGTGTTTTGTTTTATTCTCTCAACTACATTAGAAAATCAGAAAATGTTCCAAATCAGAGGAGGGAAGAGCGGCTTATCCGCACATATCTTTCTTCCACTCTTTCCAGGCATGGCCCATGCTTTAAAGTTATATGTCCAAGTGCCCTTTTTTTTGCTCCAGAGAGTAACCCATGAAACCCTGCTTTTTAAAGCTTTTGCACGGAAAGCTCCAGGGCAAAAACCAACAGCAACTGCTTGGACACGGAGCTTTTAAGCACAAATCTGTGCCAGGAAAGAGTGGGGCAAAATGTAATTGTGAATCAACCCAGAGAAAGAGAAGAATTGTTGAATGGCTTTTCCCTCCCAGTCCTATTCCTCAGACATGCCCCATCCCTTCACTAATTTTGCAGTAGCTGAAGTGGTAGAGTCTGGAGGTGGTACAATAGACTGTACCACATTACAGATGACAATAATGATAATGACAGTGATAACATACAGCAGAGAGGAGTGGTAGAGTCCTGAAGTCATGAAATGCATTAGAGACTGCTGCTGATTGGGACTAGTAGGATGGAAGGCACGGAGGCCACCAGTAGAGGGAGCCAGAGAAAATGCCTGGTGGAGTTACTGATTGGTCTATGACAGACATAGGCAAACTTGGCCCTCCAGATATTTTGGGACTACAACTCCCATCATCCCTAACTAACAGGACCTGTGGTCAGGGATGATGGGAACTGTAGTCCCAAAACAACTGGAGGGCCAAGTTTGCCTGTGCCTGGTCTATGATAAAGGTAAAGGTAAAGGGACCCCTGACCATTAGGTCCAGTCGTGACTGACTCTGGGGTTGCGGCGCTCATCTTGCTTTATTGGCCGAGGGAGCCAGCGTACAGCTTCTGGGTCATGTGGCCAGCAGGACTAAGCCACTTCTGGCGAACCAGAGCAGCGCACGGAAACGCCATTTACCTTCCCGCCAGAGCGGTACCTATTTATCTACTTGCACTTTGACGTGCTTTTGAACTTCTAGGTTGGCAGGTGCAGGGAGCTCACCCCGTCGCAGAGATTTGAACCGCCAACCTTCTGATCAGCAAGTCCTAGGCTCTGTGGTTTAACCCACAGCACCACCCGCATCCCCCTGGTCTATGATAGGTAGAGCCAATTCATTCTGGTTTTGTCCCCACCATACTCTCTGCTGAATTTTATGAGACTAAGGAGGAGGACGCTGACAGCCAGCACTACCCATGAGGCTGATTGTAAGGAGGTGGGCAGGCGGAGGCTGGCAGAGGACAGACTTAGTTTGATGGGGCATTGCCCCTACTTGCCTTAATGGACTCACCTCCACTGACAGAACAGACTGCCCTATTACGTGCTACAGCTGAAGGAATCACATTCTTGAATGTGCAAAGTCTGGTGGATTTGAAAGATGACAAGAATGGTATTGTCCTACCTGAAGTCTGGAGTGGTACAGACCTACCCAACAGTGTCATTCAGCTGTGTGCCACCCAGTATTTAGAGCTGTCCCTACACACAATGCAAAATGGCTGAATTTTGGACTGTTTTGCTTTGTACTGCTCTATGCTCCAGCCAGGCAAATGAGAGGCATTATGAGAGCACATCTTCCAGCCAAGGAAAACCACTCAAGGTGCAAAGCAGAGCCAGTAACGGGTGGGGTCTGTGAAGAGTTCCAAGGGCCAGATAGAGAGGCCTAAAGGGCCACCCTCAGCCTGTGGTTTCCTCAACTCTGCTTTAATGTATAGACAAATGTTCTTAGTCCAAGGAGCAGGGTATCCTACGCCACACCAAAGAGCAATTGCCCCTTTTGGCTTTGCTCTGTATAGATTTTGTTTTCAACCCTTTAATCTTGCATGGTTTTTGCCCTATCTCCAAAACAGAATTAGGCTGCATACCATTTATTATCTGCAAATTTGTATCTGTGGTCATCAGAGGGGACAATATCCATTAACAGGATGTACTTTGTTTTTGGGTTGAGTCCCGTCACTTTCACCTTGTAGCTGGGGAACATGCGCCTAAAAAGGAAAGAAAAAGACATGTAAATATTAGCAGAGAGATGCATTGATCTGAAAACGTTTGTTCTGGAACAAATTGCAATTACAGTCTTTCATAGTATAACCAAGACTGAGAACCAGAAAGTAAACATTTCATATGAGGTCCTGTTATCATTAAGGGGTATGATCCACCAGTAAGTTCTCTTACAGCTGCAATCTTAAGCATTTACTCATAAGTATACCCTGCTACTTCCGGGTTGGCTTACTTCAAATAAATTTGCTTAAGATTCCTATCTCTCCTTTCTGCTTCCTCCCTCTCTCTTTTTTCAAAATAAGTCATCCAATATCGGAAGCCTTTAAATAATTTCTCACCCATGCATCTGTGTAATTTATAGCACTCTCTAACCAGAATTCAGCACTTCTAAATCCTGAGTAAAATTCGCAAAGTAATTTAAACAGCCCAAAGCAAAACCAAGTGAAAACAAAATGCTATCATACAGTTTCCAAAATAGAACAAAGAGCTATCAGAGGTGGGGAGCTTGTGGCCTCCAAGATGTTAAGGTAAAGGTAAAGGGACCCCTGACCATTAGGTCCAGTCATGGCCCACTCTGAAGTTGCAACACTCATCTCGCTTTATTGGCCAAGGGAGCCGGCGTACAGCTTCCGGGTCATGTGGCCAGCATGACTAAGCCGCTTCTGGCGAACCAGAGCCGTGCACGGAAACGCCGTTTACCTTCCCACCAGAGTGGTACCTATTTATCTACTTACACTTTGACATGCTTTTGAACTGCTAGGTGGGCAGGAGCAGGAACCGGGCAGTGAGAGCTCACCCCGTTGCAGGGATTCGAACTGCCAACCTTCTGATCGGCAAGTCCTAGGCTCTGTGGTTTAACCCACAGTGCCACCCGCTGAGCTATAAAATGACCACTGGCCATGCTGGATGGGAACTGGAGCCCTAGCTTCCCAATCCCTGGTTCAGAGTGTTCAACATAGCCATGAAGGTCTCTGGCTGGTCCTTACAAGGCAATGCAACTCACAAGGAAGGGTAGGAGGATAGGAAACTGCTTTTTACCAAGTTGGGTTGTTGGTCATCTAGCTCAGCATTATCTACACCCACTGACTGGCAGCAACTCTCAAGGGTTTCAGGCAGGTGTCCTTAAACCTACTGGAGGTACCAGGGATAAAACCTGGGACCTTCTGCACATAAAGCAGATGCTCTACCACTGAGCTACGGCCATGTCCCTAAGACATAGGAAGCTGCCTTATTATGAGTAAGGCCATTGGCCCATCTAGCTCATTGTTGTCAACACACTAACTGGCAGCAATTCTCAGGGGTTTAGACAGATGTCCTCCTTAGCAGTTGGGGAGCAGGAGGAGGAGGAGGACTGGAATTTTAAGAGCTACTGGTGGAACTTGTTTTTTTTTTCTTCCTTCGTCTCTCTCCATTTTTCCTTGCATGTTGTGTCTTTCAGATTGCACACCTGTCTTACTACTGATTTCTGTAAGCTTCTCTGCAATTGTATTTGCAATTGTATTTTGTAAGTGTACTGCTGTAAAAATAACTTTAAAAAAAACTATGTGGAAAGCAACAAGAAGGCTTGTTAAGCATTAAAGACTAACAGATTCACAGAAACATAGATTTGTAGAGTTGGAAGGGACCACAGGGTCATCTAGTCCAACCCCCTACAATGCAAGAATCTTTCACCCAATGTGGGACTCGAACCCACAACCCTGAGATTAACAGTTATGTTTATATTGTTTACAAAAGTTGGGTGCCTGCCCCTCTCTCTGCCAAGCAGAGGCAAGAGCCCATTGGGCTCCTTTGGAGAATTGAAGACATGACAGAGACTGTCACAGCTTTAAGAAATACTATATATTCACATATTTACTCCTTCAGTCTGCATGGAGGGAGTCCAGATCTTACAGCATGGTCATCTCAAGAGCGGTTTGCTCCCCACCGCAGTGCAGCACTCCAGTCTAAGGCATCTCTCCTCATTCTGTTGCTCCTAAACACTAAGCCTCCCTCCTTTATTCCTTTATTATTATTGCATTCTAATGGTCAGTTCTTTTGATGCTTTGAAATACTAATGATTAACCCCCTCAGGTGTCACCTAACAAAGGAGTTCTCCTGACCATCAACACTTGTTGACTGACTACAGTTAAAGACTGGTACACACTTAGGACATTTACATAGGTTAATTAACTCTTCACACGCTAATTGCTGGTGCTCAGAAGTAGGAACACACATTCCAATGCGTATGGATCTTGATTACATTCTCAAAGTCCAAGCACAGTCTTTACACATAAGCAGGATTTAAACACCTCAACCCCCTTCCATAACTTCCTTTCTAATACACATTGAGACTGCCTTATAACATATCCCAGTTATAGCATACAAGTTCTAATTAAATCCTAACATTTACTATACTTAAACATCTTAGCACCACAGATCTATTACAATATCAATGCACACAAGCAAGAGACTTTAAAACACTTCTGTGGCATCCAAAATTATACTGAATAAAATCGCACTTCTAAAACATACTCTTCCTTTTTAAATTTAAAAGTCTTTAAGACTCTTGCTGCAACAGACCTATGGATATAATTATATGTTTGCATGTGTGCATGTACATTTGCATATATAAACTATTTCTATAAAATATACTTCACTGCATAAAAATTATATGCAATATACATACATAACATTGAGTATATATGAGTACATATTATTATTATTATTATTATTATTATTATTATTTGAATTTATATACTGTCCTATACCTGGAGGTCTCAGGGCTGTTCACAGAATGAAATCAAAATACGAAACCACAAATTATATAATCAAAATAAAAACAACAACCCAATAACCCCCATATATACACACAACACAATACAACACAACTTGTCTATAAGGTTCCTCCAAAAGAACCACAGGAATAAACTTGTTTGAAACTGTATAATTGTCTCTTTTTTTCTATTTCAATTCTAGGCCAGAATCCAATTAACAATAAATCTAGAAATGGAAGGAACCAAAGGCTGCAATCCTGTACCGGAAGTGAGTCCAACTGAACCAAATCAGATTTACTTCCAGGTAGACAGGTATAAGATTTCCTCGGACTCTGCTTCTCCTCCACAAAGGCATATACACTGCGCCACATGGTAAACATGAATAAGGGCTGTAGCTTAGTGGTACAGCATTTGCCTTGCATCCAAAAGGTCCCAGGTTCAATCCCCAGCATCTCCAGGTAGGATCTGGAATGTCCCCCACCTGACATCTTGAATTGAATCATTTCCTGCCCATGTAGAAAATACAGAGCTAGATGGACCAAGGGTTTGATTCAATGGATGACCACTTCCTATGTTCCTGAACTGCTTTTGAGATGGAAATTTAAATGGACATGCTAAGACAGTGGGAAACCAATGGTAGTCACTGTATATAAAAAGCAGGGAGGGGTGCCTGAAAATCCTGTTTGCTAAGATAAACTGTGCCACTAAGCAGTTCTTTGCATCCTCAGAACTTAGAAGTGAGTGGCAGCAGGGTCACCAAAACTGCAGTAGAACTTTGCTCTCTTCTTCCCCCTGCGGCTGATGCAATGGATGTGAACTAATCAATGCTTCATTCGCTAATGAATGCTTATACGTAAGAATGTATGAAGAATCCTAGTGGATCAGGCAACGGCCCATCTATTATTTTATTTATTTATTAAAATTGCATACTGCCCTTCATCCGAAGATCACAGGGCAGTTAAAAAATACAACCACCAGCAGCCAGAATTCTCTATGCACAAATTTGGAAGGAAAAAGTTCCTGCCCAAGAAGAATGGATAAGTAAAGTGATGGACAACATGGAATTGGCAAAGTTAACAGCTAAAATAAGTGAACCTAATGACTGTTTTGTGGAAGGATGGAAGCCTTTTTTGGACTATTTAAAGAAATATTATAGTATGATGAGTTTGCAAGCAGGATTTGAACAAGAGCAACAGAAGGAATTAAACATTATTGCATTGTTGTTATGGTATAAGAGAGAGATGATAGGTTACAGCAAGGGGAAGCAATAAAAAAAATGGAAAATGGGGTGGGAAGTCGACAAAACAGAAAAAAATATTATGTATTGGAATGTATATATGATTTTTTGAAAATGTAATAAATTATAACTGGGGGGGGGAGCAAGACGCCCATGGGTGGCTTACATGCAGGATCTGAGCGCAACAGTACTCTCCCCGCCTATCGTTTCCAGAAACTAGTACTGTACCTGGAGCATACTGCCTCTAGCGGTGGAGGTACAACATAGCCAGGGTGGCTAGTAACCAATAGTGATTATAGTTATCCATCTTAATGCTAAAGCATTCTTATAGCAGACTTAGATTAATATAATATAATATAATATAATATAATATAATATAATATAATATAATATAATATAATATAATATAATATAATAATATAATATAATATAATATAATATAATATAATATAATATAATTATACGAGGGGGAGGGGGAGAAACAACATTGTGTTCTGAAACGGAAACAGAGAATAAACTGCAGCAAATCCTAAACTCCTCAAACGCAGAATCTTCCAGTCAGACCCTGCCATTCATTTCAACAGGACTGATTTCAAAGCTGGAGTAGAAACTGAACCTTAAAGCATAACCTCCAGCGCTTGTGGTGGAGAGTGTTTTGGGAACACCATAACTGGAGGCGGGATCAAAACACAGTTTTTTCCTCAACACTAAGAGGTAGAGATAGCGCCCTTGCGAGTTATACTATGGTAAATATAGAGGCGAGGAGGCCAAATAGTTTATGAAGGACCCTGTTCAGATCTGATTGTTTTGGTGTCATTGGGTCTAGATTTGCGCATATATATATATATATATATATATAAATGAAAACATGCCAAATCTCTTACTGTGCCTATAACGCGCGCGCAAAACTGAGAGGCGCAACGGAACCCCGTAGTACGATCCTATGCATTTTACTCGGAAGTTCTGTGGAACTTACTCGCAAGTAATTGCGCGCAGAATCGCAGTCTAATGGTATACATAGTATTCACTGTGTTAATATCAAGCATTCACCTGTCCCTAAACTTGATACATAAATAACTAATTAACAAAGCCAGAGCAAGCTTGAGCGAAATGTTGTTTGTGCTTTTATGACACACACACAAACAAACACATTAAGAAAAGGGGAAACACTTTGGGTTGAAACACTAAGTCCTAGTCAGATGGAAATAACCTTCGTTCATTCATTTCTGTGGATCTACTCTGAGTAGGACTTACGTACTTCTGAACTGACATGGTCAGGATTGTGCCACCGAAACTGTCGGGCCTTTAAATGGTTTCATTTTGTCTCGATTATTGCAATGGTTACCCTGCGAAAATAACTGGAAGAGTTGCTGCAGCACCTAAACTTGTTTTAAAAGGGGGGGGGGAGAATCTCAAGAGAAACAAACCTTAAGGTCAATTCTTCGAAATATTCCTGCAAGGAAATCTATTCCGAGAGCTCCGCTGTCACTCCTGATATTGCATTTTATGCGACATCAGATCCTGCGTATTTTTCACTGGGCAGAAGTCTTCAAGGCACGTCCGGGCTACTATAACGCACCCGGAAAGGCTTCTTTTAATTTCGATGGGGTTCGCAAATGAACTCCCCCTCCCTCCGAGGACACACACAGCCCTGCAAATGAATCGTGTTCCTTCGTCTTTTAGGGAATCAGGCCGAAATTTCATTTATTTATTTCTCCACAAAGCCATTAACTTACCTAAAAAATATCCATACCCCGCCTTTTGACCAAAAGAAAAACCCTCGAGACGGCTTACAACATTGTGGTAAGACTACAAGACGCATCCTCGGTGGAAAACCACAAAGGCAAGAGGATATAGAGAATAAATTTAAAATACACACCATGGGCGTCAAGTTAATAAATAAAAATACTTAACTAACTGACCAACTGCATCTCAGATAACTCGCTTCTATCATCCCCCCACCAATTATAAAGTCTGCCCCCCCCCAAAAAAAAATCTTGGCTATGCCCATGACACACGCACACATCTAGTGATAATGAGTCTTTCTCCACCAGCTCCATCACCCACACCCCAAAAAGAGAAATATCTGGATTCTTACCTTCCAGCTTTGGTTATAATCATTTCGGTCCCCACGTCATGAAATTTGAGCCATAATTCTCGCTCGTGTAAGAACACTTTGATTCCCTCCATGCCCTGGAAAGGAGAGCAAATGGCAACAGGCAAATCATTATACAGCAAGGGCAGGTGAGAACACGGGAAGGCGCCTTAGAGTGAATCAGACTAGCAGTCCATCTATCTCAGTGTTGTCTACCCTGACTAGAAGCAGATATCTAGGTTTCCAGGCAGGAGACATCCCAGTCCCTATCTGGAGAGGCTGAGAATCGAACCCGGGATTTTCACCATGCAATGTGACGTACCCGTTCCCCAAATCACGGGGATATCAAGGGTGTTTATTCCCCGCGCCCATTAATAGCTGATGGCATGTCTTTTTCACGCCACACCTTTTCAAGTGTATATCCCCCACCGCTTTACTGATGATGATGATGATGATAAACTTCGATTGATTTGGGAGCAAATCCCACTGGTTTCAAGGTGGCTTGTTCCCTAGTATACGCATAGGCTCGGGTTACACGGGTGTTCCTAAAATGCCAACAGTGAACGTGGAAACGGGGGAGAGACGCGTGCTTCTTCCAGGCACACGCGGCCAGGAGACGGGGTTGGCTGTGGCTCCTGCTGAGAGTACCTCCTCGGTGGCAAACCCGAGTTTCTGACTGTGTAACGTGTGAAACGGCCTCCAGAGCGAGAGAGAGAGTGCTAGCGGGCTTGGCTGCACTCCACGACGGCTGTTATCCCTTCTCAGTGAATAGAGGCTTGCCTAAACTAGGCTTGTGGTTTTTATCTCCCGAAATGGCGAGGCGGGAGGGGAGGGAGGGAGGGAGGGAGTGGGCGAGAGACGGGACAGTCCGGCTCATGTTCAAAGACGCTTCGCCGCTCCAGGCCGGAGATCTGCCCAGCGCCAGCGGCCATGAGAGCCGCTTGGAACTTTTCTGATAGGAGCCGGCCTGATAGGCTCCGAGCCAAGAGCATCAAAATAGCAGGCGCTATAATAGGATCGGAGGCGAGGAAGGTTTTCCTGAGAAAAAAGGCAGCGGGGTAGGATGGGGGAAGAGAAAGCAGAGAAAAAGGAGGGGTGAGGAGGAGGAGGAGGATGAAAAGCTGACCCCTGAGAAGGAGGTTATCTCTGCCTTGCAGTCACTTACGGGCCCATCCCAACGTCCTTCCAGAGTTTCCTTTATTGGTTGCATTTATATTCCGCCTCCCCACCCCCCAGCTCAGTGCGGCCTACGTGATTTCCGCCCCCCTCCGCATTTTATCCCCACAGCAATCCTGCGAGGTACGTCGGGCTGCTGTGCCCAAGGTCACCCAAGTGAGCATCACAGGGCTGAGCGGGGGATTTGAACTCGCGTCTCCCAGGTCCTGGTCCAACGCTCTAACCGCTACCCCACGCTGGCTCTGAGATTACGTGGCACAAAGACGCGGTTCCTATCCTACTGCGTTTCTGGTTCAGGTTCTGGGAAACGAGGCGAACTCGGTGGAGGTCAAGTTGAAAGTGCATTGGGTTGAGACGTCCAAATGCACAAATACGCACTCGCCTCCGCGGTTTTCTTATGTACGTACATGCCTGTTGTCATAATCATCCACGCTATTTTATTATTTCCATTAGCCAGATACAGCTTCATCTACATATCTGCATCTCTACCCAAAAAATACGGATAATTATAATAATATGTCCGTGTCATTAAGGGCAGTGTTCAACCAGTTTGCCTGTTTTTCCTTACCCGGCCTTCACCAGACGGTTCCAAGGCAGTTTAACTGAAAACACAATTAAGCTACAATCCTATGCACATATCCGCGGGAATAAATCCCATTAAATTGAATGGGGTTTTCCTTCTGAGTAGTCACATTAGGATTGCCTTGCTGAAGAACTGTGATCCTGTTGAAAGCTGTGCACGCCTAAACCCGCGGAAAGCAACAGAGAGGACAATCCCACCCAGTGCCTAGGACGGCAGCCCTGTTTACTCGAGAGAAACTTTATTTGTTCAACTGGACTTACTCCCTGGTAAGTGTGCAAAAGGACTGCGCCGCTCCTGGGTTCCTCATTTCCGAGGGGTACAGTGGAAATACATTTGGGGATTACCGAAGGTGGGGGTTAAATGTAACATTTAGGAAGCAAAAGTTCAACTCGAAAACTGCAATCCTATGAGGCCCATTGGAATCAATGGGATTTACTTCTGAGTGGGCCTGCATGCGTTGCCTCCCCCCGCCCATCAGCCTTGCTTCCCTGACACACTGGACCTCCCAAAAAAGAGAGAAGGGGATTGGGTTCCCCTTAGCTCTCAAGCCCACGGTTCAAAATTTGACCCGGCCGATTAATAGCAGATTAATCAACCTACACTTTAGTTGATTAATCGACTGGACCGTTGCAGCCGTGCTGCGCATCAGCTTCATGCTGATGGATCGTTTCGACAAATGGAACGTTGGCTTATTCCCTATCACAAGCCGGGAGAGCTCGACAGTGCGATCCTACGCATATTTATTCAGAAGTAAGTCCGAACTAGTTCGAGGAGACGAACGCTTGAGAAAGGCTGCAATCCTACACCCACTTGATCTCGAGTAAGCCCCACCGAACTCCTGAATAGATAGCGATAGGATCGCGCCTTAAAAGTGCCTAGAACGTCGACCTGGGTCATTTATTTATTTGGAATATGTTTATACTAACTTTTCCAACAGCAAAAGTTCTCAATGCCCTTTACACATAAATCTTTCCAGTCTCCTTCCCTCCCATAATTTTTGTGTTTAAAAACTGGCCAGTAACTTGTAAACACGGGGACTCCGCATACGCGCATTTACCTACGAGTAAGCCCTACTGAACACGGTAGGAATGGGGAGAGCGCCATCCATGGTACTTAAGGAGGCTTGCTTTGGCCTAAGAGATTAGGCCACCGTACATTTAAAGCACACTCCCCTCCAAAGAATCCTGGGAGCTCTAGTTTGTTATGGGTGCTGGGACCTGTAGGTCTGCGAGTGAGTGAACTACAATTCCCTTTGGGGTGAACTACAATTCCCTTTGGGAGCGGAGGGACATGCTTTAAAATGTATAACGTGGAAGGGAGGGAGAGAATGAGAATAAGGCAGCCACGCTCATTTCCCAGTTCTGTGATGCCTAAAAGAGAAATCGTTTTTTAAAAATCAAAATAACCTAAATATAAATAAAAGCGCACACCCCATTTCGCGGGGCTCGCTTCTGCGTCGTGATCCGGATGCATGGATTTTTTTTTAAGATCCTGAAGCAAAGACTCACTCCCATCACAAACGGCAGCGAAGCTACTCGCTAGAAGCAGCCGAAGCAAGGGTAGCTTTCCAGTCCTCCCGGCCAAGCCAAGAGCATACTGCACATATATTTGCAGTAATGGGCTGGAGGGAGAGGGAGGATCGGTTTCGAGAAACCAGATGTTGGGACGACGAGAGAAAGACCCAGCCCGAAGGATCAAGGCTGGAAACCTCGCGGTCGTAAATGTATTGCACGCTCAGGCACTCCCCAAACACGCGAACTTTTAATTTTTTTTATTTTCTAAACATCTCTCCTTCCAACCTCTGATGTTTGGGTGCAAATAAATGTACTTAATTCTTTATTCGCGTGCGGCTCTCGCCGGTGCGAGCGCCACACACGTATATCTCGGGGAGCGTCCTCACGATCATTTAAGCCGGGTTCGTTCCCAGTTCCCTTTCGACTTCCTTTTCTGCGACCTTTACGCCGCCCTCGCAGCGAGGAGAGAGTGGGACGCGGCGCTCCTGCGTATGTATTTGCATTTTACTGCCGGCGCAATCTATCCAAAGCGACCTTAGTTATTGTGGTTGTGAGCAAGAATCTGGCGATGGCAGTTTATTCCGGGATCGATTGACGCGGACTGCGCGGCTGGCTTACATAACCAGGTCTACTACAAACTGTATTTGAGGCGGGAGCCAGGAAATCAATCCGAATGGGTATTACAAATACGAATATTTTCCCTGTCCTTTAACGGTACCCCCAAATTTTCCTGCTTGCGAAGGACGGTTTCCCTCAGTCAATAGCCGTGCCCGCCTTTCTGCATAGCAGAATCAGCGCATTCCAGACTCCATCCCTCCAAATATATATATATTTCATTGCACGTGATTTTTGGGGTGGAGGTGTTTATATTTGTCTTATTCCATTGTATTCTCTTTCTCCAACTGTAACCTTACAGGTAGGATTTACAGTGAATAATAAATAAATGAAATGAAACTACCGTTCAGCGCAGTTTTAACCACGTCTACTCAGAAATAACTCAATTGAATTAAATGGGGCCTACTCCCAGGTAAGTGGGGTTGTTACGACTGCAACCTAACTAACCTATTATTATCATTCATCAAACGTTAGCCCTACTCAGAAAAGACCTAATGAGGTGACCCCCGTCATATTTACTGATTTTAATGGGCCTACTCTGAGTAGGACTGTCCTTGGATACACAACCCATTATTATTATGAATTAAAAGAACAGAGGAGGCGTAATGGGGTTGTCTCTCATTAGTTCCCACTTTCCCAAAGCATTCCCACCCCCCTGCCTCCCCCCATTCCTGCCCAGTGCGGCGGCTTACCTGTTGGGTGAAGGCGGCCTGGGGCGAGGAAGGTTGTTTGCTGCTGGCGCCCAGCTGACTCTCCGGTTTCCCGTCGCTCGCTAGCTCCTTCGTGTCTGAGTCGACCGGCGTGGCTGGGAGCCCGAAGCCTTCTTCGGCATCCGCCATGTTCTAGACTGCTGAGCCCCCCCGCCCCACTCCTGTACAACGGCGAGAGAGAGAGAGAGAGAGAGAGAGAGAGAGAGAGAGAGGAGAGTGGTGAGTCTTGGCGATGGTGGAGAGAAGGAGAAGAGACCCACGGTCGCGTCCCCTCTTTGCCACTGCAACAGTGCTGGATTTATAAGCTAAACTATAGCTTAGGGCCCCACTCTCTTGTGGGTCCCCAAAAATTTAAAGGGCAAAAACCTGGATGCACTTCGATAAAATACATATTTTGTTATGTGCGAATGGCTTTAGATACCTATAAGGTCCATAAATTACCATATAGCATATATTCAACACAAAAAACGGCGACAATTTGTTGTTGACAAAGGACAGCTGGACATATAAAGGGCCCTATTGCCTTCAGTAGCTTAGGGCCTCATCAAACCTAAATCCGGCCCTGCCCTGGAGCGAGGGAGACCGAATGATGGGCGGATAGGCCGAGAGAGAGAAGGTCCACGGCTGCCAATTCAAGGCCAGTTATACCCGCGTTCCTCAAAGGCCTATGCCTGCCCCCGCTTCAAAGACCAGGCCCCAGAGGAGAGGCTTGTTTAGGGATCTCTGCTGTCTACCTTCTTTTCACACCGACAGGTTCCCAGTCTTACAGATACACAGAAATGTGTCTGAGTTGTGCGTAAATCTCCCGTGCATAGGCCACCCCAACACACAAACACTTTTAAAACTTATATGATACGAGGTAAAATTCCACATTCGCTAATGGTAGGAAAATGCAACCTGTGCCGTTAATGTTCAGAAATAATTTTACACCATTTATCAAATATGTGAGAAAGAGACAATTACTTACAAAGTGCCATGAAAACTTACAAACTACCTAAAATAAAGTGAACTTGCAATATCAGATTTAACTAGGTTCTTACAAATTCTTGACTCAGTTTTTTAAATAAGTTCCAGAAGATTCAATAAAAGGGTAAGTTCAAGGTTGTTCCCCGTAGCTGTGAGGTGCCGGGAACAACGTTGTACATACGCCAATGGAGCTGTGAATCATCACAACCGCAATCGCATTCTGCACCTATATGTACGCGCCCTTGTGTATATTGGGTGTGCATATTGGATCAATGAAGCTTTCTTACAGCGGTCTCCGTGGTTGCAATAACCCCATGGATACTTACTGGGGAGTGAGACCCCTTCCAGTGAATGTGATTTATTTCTGAATAAATTTGCACAGGTTCAGGCTGCTGGGCTGCTAGACCCGAGAAGTCTGTGGGGCTTAAGGCTTGTAAGGATGTCCAAGACTGCAACACATTCTTGCGCTACTTGTTTTGTTTGGTCAGTGCGTCTGCTAACCTCCTTTTCACACATGTGTCATATGTGCAGAAGCACAATGTGTGCACGTGTGTTGATTAGCACACAAATACATATTCTTTACTTACACAAAATATACATGCACACACACAAGCATGAGTGTACTGACACGTACACATATTCTATATGTACACAAACATATGCACACAGAGACATACATATACATACATACATACATCTGGGTACACACACAGATTCTATAGTAACCAAAATATTACACATGTACACGTACAAGCATGGGTATGCACGCATATGCATCTTCCGTGTGTACAGATGTATACAGTATTCTGTATGTTCTCATAAAGCAAGCATGTGTATATATACCCGTGCGTAAAACAAAGAGAAAGATTCGTGCGCACACATCTATGTACACACAGAGACAGCGAGGTCAACAGAGAAAGTGGTATTGACCTTAGACGTCGAGTCGCGGAGGAAGCGTAGCAATGGACTTCTGTTGGAAGGCGTTTGTCAATTTCATATAGAAAAGGCCCAGAAATATTTCATGTCGAAAAGGCCCAGGCAAGATTTCCTTGCTAAAATAGCCCCCACCACCACCAGCACCGCCAAAGTGGGAAGCACTTTTCCAGCAAAGGCCAATTACCGATCCATGCCCCCCCCCCGTGATTTTTCATTTCTGCGTCCAAACAAAACAGTACGTATCTACAACTGAATATGCTGGTATATTGGGGGAGGGGGAGAGATCCCTCATGAAAACCCGACATACTTCGCAGGTTTAAAAGAGCCAACGACTAGACCCATGTGAACTGAATAATGTGGACTTTCTTTTTTGCCCCCAAAGAAAAGGGGGTGGGGAAGAGAGATTTCCTCTGGTAAAATGAGAAAATTTGAAGCTGTACAATTTGCTCTATAGCAAGCTACGTAGAAAATGGCCATTACTTGATGATGATGATGACGACGACAAGGCCTTGTCTTTACTTTTAGGAGAAATTATATAATTTTCATATATGTTCTCGTTTATTAAATGCACCTCCGGCTTTGGTCTTGAGGAATGTTCGTGTTTTGTTTTGTTTTAAAAAAGGCCATCTCCTAAAGATCAGTATGAAATAACGGAGGAAGGAAATTCCAGCAAATCAAAAATCAGTTTCTCATACCAATACCCTAATATATGTATTTTACTTGGAAGATATTTCCTTGGCGCTTCCTTCCAGGTAACCGGGAATGAAATGGAAGACTCTCGGTGCAAGCTAGCCTCTACAAAAATCTCTACTCCAAAGCAAGCCCCACTAAATTCAATAGAACTTACTCCCAGCTAAGCATGTATCTAGAATTGCAGTCCGGATCCCACTTACTTACTTAGAAGTAAACCTAACTGAAACATTAGACTTGTCTTCTAATGAATCAGTGATTAGAACCTATAGGCCCCTAACTTTTCATTGCTGCTTTTCCCTCCTCAGTTAAATCTTTAGTACATTTTCTAAGAAATGTCCACCGAAATCAAAAGGGTTTGCAGCTGCCTTTTAAAAATACAGCCGCTTGAAGAAGAAAAATAATTGAAATGTACGGGAAATATTTCCTATTAGTTCAAGTTGGGATGCTAGTACAACTCAAGGGAACAGAGCATTCTAGTTTTAAAGAAATAAAGGAAAAAAATCATATGTTGAATCTAGTTTCCAGATTACTACAGCATATACTGGATATTTAAAATAATCCAACTGCCCTGTTTCCCCGCGCCTACATCTTTAACAAAACAAAGCCCGCGAATTGTAAAGAAACCAGACCGAGCGTTTTGTGTTTGTTTTTAATTAATAAAAAAATTAATATATCAGCTCCTTTCATTAGCATTTAAGAAAATTTCTTTAAAGGAGAATTTACTCTCAGTGTGAAAATAGCTTTAAATTAGCGGGGGATTTATAGGAAAAACACCACCACCATCCAGTTTCAAACCGCTGAACCTAGGAAGGGAGTTAAAGTCATGGAAGTCTATGGGGTTTATTTCCGAATAAACAACGGTAAAATGGGACTGTAGGAATCATTACAAGGGATGTGCTCGCGCCCCAGCTATAGACATACAGAGGCGCTGCTCTACCTTACCTCGGAAACGCTAGAGTTCCAAGTGGGGTTAGCGGGAGGCAAGTGATTCAGAGGTAGAAAGCAAGGTGGTGATCGGGCTGAATTCACTGAACTGCTGGCCTGAGGCTAGATTAGAGGAAGGGTCCTCAGAGATTTCTAGACTCAGAGATGAGGGTGCCAAATGACTCAAGATCACTGCCTGTTCATTTTCTGTAATTTCCCCTAAAATCCCCCCCTCCAGCTCCGGGCATTGGGAGAGACGAACGTGGCAACGTATCAGGCGTGTGTGAACAAAACAAGCGCCAGAGGAACGCCTCTCCTAACCTTAAATCGCTCTCGGAATCGGCACAGAAGGTTTTCTCGTGGAAGAGTTGGGCCAAGAAGGCTGGCGGTGCGGGGGGGGGCGGGCGGGTAGAGAGAGACTGTGGGGGGGAGAGAAATATGAATGAGACCCTCTTGCTTCTCCCTCCGAGAGTTGCAGAGAGGCAATCCGCCTTGACAGAACCAGGCCGCGGCTGGATGAAAAATGCAGCCAGCCAGCTCGAGCCGAGCAGGGAACCTCAACTGCTCGGCCAGGCGCTTCGGGGAAGGAATGAAATGTAAAGGAGTGGGGGTGCACCGCTACACACACACGCACACACACACACACACACACACACACCAAGGTGCCTATAAACTGGATCGCCATCCCCTCTGCAAGATCGAGGGACTAACTGAAAGATCTCTCCGCCTCAAAGCAAAACACCATCTCCCAGCTGTCTTGCTGGGGCCTTGTTTTCTGGCTCGCTTCTCTCTCTCTCCCTCCTTGCTTCCCTCCCTCTCTCCCTCCCTCCCTCCCTCTCTCTCTCTCAGTGTGTGCGTGTGTATATGTCACCCACACACCGAGAGGTCCGAATCTCCCCTATGAGCCTCGGGCGCCCCCACCCCCCACGATCGCGCATCCGGAGCGCGAGAACAGCCCTCGTTACCTTCTAGCTTTGCCCGGATCCGGGCAGTCACCGCATCTCACTCACAAAGCCCTCAGCCTGGACGCAGCATTGCCGCCGCCGCCGCCACCACCATTGCCATCTCTTTGCTGTATTCTCGCCGCTCCAAATGCAATAAAAACCGAGCCTTTCCTCAAGACAGCATCAATGAAATGATGTGAAGGGCGAGAGAGGACGAGGGGGGGGAGGAAAGGCCCCTTCCCCTACTTCTCCCCCTCCCCTCAAAGAAAGAAAACCCGTCCAGTCCCTTCTCTGCCTCCCGGACACAGCTCCTGGTAGCGCGCAGAGGAGCGAGTCCCTCCAGGCGATGCCTTCAGGAATGAGAAGGGTCCTCGCCTCCTCCACGCAGCCGAGAACCGCGTCCTCTCCCTGGACGCTTACAGATTCCCGGAAAGAGAGCTGGGAGGGAAAAGTTCGGGGTAGGAGCGATGGCGGAGGAAGCCCCTAAAGAGCAGGTTCGCTTCTTTAAGGCCGCGAACGAGCGAGCTCGGCTGAGGAAGACGGAGCCCTGCGTGTCTCCAACCAAGTGCGTTGAGGCGAAGGGAGCGCAGCGTCTCGAGCGAGCGCCCAGCTCGCTCTGGCCAACCAGCTGCGCTGGTGCAACGGGAGGCTGGCGCTCTCTCGCTC